GGGTGGGCACCCAGGGATGCAGGGTGGGCACACAGAGATGCAGGGAGGGCACAAAAGTGCAGGGAGGGCACAGATGTAGAGCAGATACTCAGAGGTGTGGGGTGGGCACAGATGCAGGGTGGCACCCAGAGGTGCAAGGTGGGCACACAGAGGTGCACGGAGGGCACAGATGCAGAGAAGATACCCAGAGGTGCGGGGTGGGCACAGATGCAGAGAAGATACCCAGAGGTGCGGGGTGGGCACAGATGCAGAGAAGGCACACAGGGATGCGGGGTGGGCACAGATGTAGAGAAGGCACACAGGGATGCGGGGTGGGCACAGAGGTGCAGGATGGACACCCAGCTGTGCGGGGTCCCCCGTGCCCCCCGGCCGGGTGTGCCAGCCCGGCAGCAGCGCCGCTCGGAGCCCGCGGAGCCCCGTGCCCAGCCGGCACCCGGCGCTGGCACCCGGCGGGCAGCAGCCGATCGTGCCGTGCCTCCTCCCTCCCTCCCTCCTCCCCGCCCTCCCCGCTCCCTCCTGCCTTGGCAGGCGGCATCGCCTCGCTGCCGGAGTGACCCCGGCGAACCCCGAAACGGCCCCAAAGCGGGGTGCGGGGGCGGCGGGGGGGCGGACAGAGCGGGGCTTACCGGACATGCCGAGCCGGAGCGGGCAGCGCCTCGCCAGGTGCCCGGTGCAGCAGCAGAGGTGGCCCCGGCCCCGGCCCCACGAGCTGGCCAAGGGGGCAAGAGGAGTCAGCCTTGAAATTTGGGGGCGAGGGGACCTGCCTGCCCGGTGCCAATGGCAGGTGGATCCCGACAATATTATTGTTTTATCCCTACGGGTATAAGTTTGAGTTTTTCTCTCCTAATGCCAAGTATTTAAAACCTCTAGAAACCAATGATTTGACAATCAATGATTGCGCGATACTTTCAATTTGAATATTCAAAGGCTCCACAAAATGGGCTATCTTTTTGTGAAACAGAGCACATCCCCATCTAGCAGAGGGTCTGGGGGAATAGGATTTGGTGGGGTCACTCTCCCCACCCTTTGCTTTTGGGACATTTGCAGGGTTTTATCCATCTTTCCCTGAATGAAGCAGATGCCTCCAAAGCAGCTCAGTGTTTTCCCCTCAGATGCACAGGCTGGGCTCCAGCCCTCTCAGATTTCATTTGCTACCTGCACTGAGCACTCTGCAAGGGGCTGACTTGCTTTTTGCACATTTTTTCACGTTTTAAGGCTAAATTCTGAGGTTTTGGGGCCAAAACGGCAGTAGGCAGTGTGGCCTAACAAAGAGGCTGCCCTGGGCACCCGGGTGGCTGAAGTTAACTGAGCCCCACTTGTCCCCACAGCATTCCCTCCCTCTGCCTGGATGCTGGGCTCACACTGGGGTTTATTTGTGCTTTCCCCCAGTTCAGGCAGTTTTCCTGAGCTGCACAAATCGGCCTTTTCCTCACAATGCTCAGTGCTGGTCTGCCCTGGGAGCTGCAGCTGTGGGGTTCAGCGTGTGGCTCAGAGTTTTGGGATGAACATCCCTTCCCAGCACTGCTGGAATTGGGTTTTTAGGCTGCCTTTAAGCTTTTCCCCGGGGACCACAGGCTGAGGCACGGGCAGGAGTGAGGCAGAGAGCAGGCCAGGCTGTTAATCTGTTAATCATCTACCAGCAGCTCAGGCTGGCTGTCGTCACAGCCGAATCTTTTTTTTTTTTTTTTTCTCTTTTAAGTTGAGCAAATAACACTTGATTTCTGTGGGGAGTGAGGCCATTCCTGGCTCTGAAATGTGCCCCTACAGCTCCTGGTAGGCCAAGCCTTGCCTGGGACAGCTTTATAGGGACACAACCCACCAGGAGAGGAGCCTACCTGCCCTGGAGCACAAAGGAATGCGCTGTGCAGGGAGGGGAGGGCGTCTCACTGAGGAGTTTGGGATCTGAAACCCTTCCCTTAGTGGGGCTGGAGCTGCTGTGGGTGGGTGCAGGCTGCAGGGAGCTGGGGTGATGAGAGCAGAGCCTGCAGGCTGCCCAGCTCCAGCCCTGGGGGAGCTGGGTGCCCTCAGGAACCACGAGGCAGCAGAGTTCTGGCTCTTCCTGGGATTCAGAGCTTTTCCAGGCTGAGGAAAACCCTGCCCGGGTTAGGAGTGAGTGCCTGAGTGGGTCAAACCCCTTGAAGACAGCTCCAAACCCTGTCCCTGCTTCTCCCCAGGGCCTGAGGGCAGCACAGCCACCATGGCCTGGTTCAGGGCCTGGCCTTCAGCCCCTGGCAGAAGGAACAGCTCAGATGGTCACAGCCCAGCAGTGACACCTCCACAGGTGCCAGGTTTAACATTTTCCAGCCACAAGCTGAGAGCTGAAGCAGGATGGAAGGGCAGCTCTGGCTGTTCCTGGGCTGCAGAGCCTTTCCAGGCTGAGGAAATCCCTGCTGGATGCTGGAGTCAAACACCTCAAAGACAGCTCCAAACCCTGTCCCTGCTGCTCAAACCCCCAGCAAACCCTGCCTGGGTTAGGAGTGAGTGCCTGAGTGGGTCAAAACCAGCTCAAAACCAGCTCCAAACCCTGTCCCTGCTTCTCCCCAGGGCCTGAGGGCAGCACAGCCACCATGGCCTGGTGGCCCTGCTTGCCTGGCAGAAGGAACAGCTCAGGTGGTCAGTGGGGCTCAGCCCAGCAGTGCTGTCAGCTGTGGGGTGGAAAAGGCTCAAACTGGGCTCAGGTTTGGGGCAGCAGGGCTGTGTGTGGGGCCAGGAGAGCTGCACACACCCTGAGGGGATGGGGGAACTGCTCAGGTTTGGGAACAGCTCAGGTTTGGGGCAGCAGGGCTGTGTGTGGGGCCAGGAGAGCTGCACACACCCTGAGGGGAAGGGGGAACAGCTCTGGCTGGGCAGGGCCACCCCTGGAGGCTCCACAGCTGCCACTCAGGGTGGAAAGGGCTGGGAAAGCTTCAAATGCCCCAGGATTTGAGGAGGAAAGGCAAGGAGGGATGGAAGCATCCATTGAAAGCGCCTCATCCCCACACATTCCCTGGGGCTGGAATGCTCCAGAGCCTCCTCCTGCTGCTGCTGGGGGTGCCCGGTTTCGGGGTGAGCTGGGCCGAAGGGGGTGACCCCCGCCGGGGACAGAGCAGGGTGCGCTGCTCTGGGAGGGCCCCATGGCGGTGTTCGTGTGTGCAGAGCTACCTCTAGCGGCCACGGGGCTGGCTGCCGGCGACATTGGCACTGCCAGCCCACCGGCATGTCCCCAGAGCTGGGTACCGGCGCCATTGGCACTGCCAGCCCACCGGCATGTCCCCAGAGCTGGTCCTATTGGCACTGCCAGCCCATCTGGGTGCCCCCAGAACTGGGTACCGGTGCCATTGGCACTGCCAGCCCACCGGCATGTCCCCAGAGCTGGGTACTGGTGCCATTGGCACTGCCAGCCCACCGGCATGTCCCCAGGGCTGGGTACCGGTGCCATTGGCACTGCCAGCCCATCTGGGTGCCCCCAGAGCTGGGTACCGGTGCCATTGGCACTGCCAGCCCACCGGGATGTCCCCAGAGCTGGGTACCGGTGCCATTGGCACTGCCAGCCCACCGGGATGTCCCCAGGGCTGGGTACCGGTGCCATTGGCACTGCCAGCCAACCTGGATGCCCTGGGGCTGGGTACCGGTGCCATTGGCACTGCCAGCCCACCGGGATGTCCCCAGAGCTGGGTACCGGTGCCATTGGCACTGCCAGCCCACCGGCATGTCCCCAGGGCTGGGTACTGGTGCCATTGGCACTGCCAGCCCACCGGGATGTCCCCAGGGCTGGGTACCGGTGCCATTGGCACTGCCAGCCCACCGGGATGTCCCCAGGGCTGGGTACCGGTGCCATTGGCACTGCCAGCCCATCTGGGTGCCCCCAGGGCTGGGTACTAGTGCCATTGGCACTGCCAGCTCACCGGGATGTCCCCAGAGCTGGGTACCGGTGCCATTGGCACTGCCAGCCCACCGGGATGTCCCCAGAGCTGGGTACCGGTGCCATTGGCACTGCCAGCCCATCTGGGTGCCCCCAGAGCTGGGTACCGGTGCCATTGGCACTGCCAGCCCACCGGGATGTCCCCAGAGCTGGGTACCGGTGCCATTGGCACTGCCAGCCCACCGGGATGTCCCCAGGGCAGGGTACCGGTGCCATTGGCACTGCCAGCCCACCTGGGTGCCCCGGAGTTGCCCACCAGGTGGGTGTGGATCTGCTGTGAGCTCATTCAGGGTAAAAGAGGTGTTGGGGAGGGTGTATTTGGTGCCCTGCAGGGGTGGTGAGGCTTCCTCGGGCACAGGTCAGTGGGCAGGGCAGTGCCCACACCCTACACAGCCCCCAAACCATTCAGGCTGGAAAAGCTGATCTGAGGAGGGGTCCTTGTTGCGAGGGAAAACCTGCAGAGCACAGAGGTTTTTCACTTGGTATTTTACTTGTGGTTTTTCAGGCTGAGTGTTTTACTTGTGAGAGGGGGCTGAGAGAAATCCCTTTCTGGAGGCACCAGAAGGCACCACCCCGAGCTCAGTGTGGGGTGTCCAGTGATTGTGTTTCTAACCAGGGCACAAAGCCTCGTGCTCGAAGGAGCAGTTTTAGGAAGGTGCCACGGACATATTTTCTGAAAAATCTTTTCATTAGGATCTTTTCTTCTGAGAAGCTGGGAAGCTTCAGCTTCTCCATGTTTTGCTGCTTTGGAATGTGATTTGGAGAATTGTTTACTTAACATGTGAAATTGTTTTTACTTGATGACCAACAACAGCCACCTGTGTCGAGGCTGTGAGCAGTCACAAGATTTTATTATCATTCTATTCTTTTCTTTTCTAGCTTTCTGATGAAATCTTTTCTTCTATTCTTTTAGTATAGTTTTAAAATATCATTTTCTTTTAATATATATAATAAAAGAATAACTCAGCCTTCTGAAACATGGAGTCAAGATTCTCATCTCTTCCCTCGTCCTGGGACCCCTGCAAACACCACCACAGGAATGAGTGTAAAATTTGCTTTATAATGGTCTGCCTCTCTTTCCTCCAGCTCTTCTCTCTCCTCAGTAAGTTCTCCTGCCTTCATAAGTCCCCCAGAGGGCACTTCCATCCTCTTTGGCCCAGGCAGAGTGCTCAGGAAGGTGTGGTGGCTCTGAGGGTGGCTCTGGGCACAGGTGGCTCATCCTGGAGGGCTCGCTGGCCACGGCCATGAACGGGGACAGGCTGTAGGGTGAGGTGGCAGCGTAGCTGGGGGAGTAGTGGGCGTCTTCAAGGGGGTGCAGAGGGTAGGGCTGGGCTCCAGGGAGGGCTGGGCTCCAACCTGAGCCTCGGAATGGGGAAGCAGCTCCAGGTTCAGGCAGGGAGAGGCAGCTGGAGGTGGCAGGGAGCGCCTGCAGAGGCTCTGAGCAGGCACTGTCAGGCTGGCCAAGGCTCTCGGGTGAGGGCTGCTCCCAGGGCTCTCTCTGTAGGGAAACAGGGAGAGAAGGCAAGGAAAATGCTTAGGAACAAAAGCCTGTCCTGGAAGGAATGGAATTTCTATCCCTGGGAATGCCCAAAGGGTTTCTGTGGCTCTGGAGCAGTGTTTGGGGTTTGAACTGTGAAAGGGAACATCCATCCTATCAGCAGTATTTGGGATTTTAAGTGTGAAAGGGAACATCCATCCTGGCAGCAGTGTTTGGGGTTTTACGTGTGAAAGGGAACATCCATCCGATCAAAAGTGTTTGGGGTTTTGAGTGTGAAAGGGAACATCCATCCTATCAAAAGTGTTTGAGGTTTTAAGTGTGAAAGGGAACATCCATCCCATCAGCAGTGTTTGGGGTTTGAATTGTGAAAGGGAACATCCATCCTATCAAAAGTGTTTGGGGTTTTAAGTGTGAAAGGGAACATCCATCCTGGCAGCAGTGTTTGGGTTTTTGAGTGTGAAAGGGAACATCCATCCTATCAAAAGTGTTTGGGGCTTTAAGTGTGAAAGGGAACATCCATCCCGTCATCAGGCCCTGGAGCAGGGTCCCAGTAGGACTGACCAGCTCTGATCCTACAGGATCCAGGGGCTCTGTGGTGGGGCTGTGAGTGAAGCTGGGATAGGGAGCCTGGACTCACCAAGGGCTGTTTCTAGAACCTCAGGGAGGGAGGGTTTCATAAAACCATAGAATCACAGAGTTATCCTGAGTTGGAAGGGTCCCAGCAGGACCATCAAACCCTGCTCCTGGCCCTGCACAATCCCACCCCGAGCCTGGGGGCAGTGTCCTGCTCAGAGCAGAATGGGAGTCCCCAGGGATGTCTCCAACAGGAACAGGGGACATTTAGATGGAACCAAAGAGAAAAACCACATTTAGATGGAACCAAAGAGAAAACCCCTCCCCACAGAGTCCTGCCCCACCTGCCACGGCTGCTCCTGTGACAGCCACATCCTTCCCCCACGAGCCCCCCTGACTGAACCCCACATTTAGAGGAGGTGACCCTGCCCTGGGGACAGAGCCATGGAGACACTCACGAGCAGGAAGTGCCCTGTGTCACTGGGGAAGGACGGCAGCAGAGGGGACACAGCCGGAGCGCTGAAGAAGGAGCTGGTGGCAGCTGGGAGAGGAGGAGGAGCACGGTGATCCCCGAACTGCTCGCTGAGATAGGGCTCCAGGAGGGCTGGGCAGCCCTGGGGGGCAGAGGGGTCGCAGGAGAAGGGCTTGGAGGCCAGAGGGGAGGGGTAGGCATCGCTGACAAACTGCTTGGGGCTGTGGAAATCCAGCTCGGCCCCAAAGGGTCTGCGGACGCCGTAGTAACCAGCCATGGTGGGAGAGCCTGGGGACAGAAAATGGGGTGGGAAAGTGAAAAGAAAATTCTAACAGCTGCCACAGAATGATGGACACCCCTATGGGTGCAAAGCAGAGCCCTTTTCTCTCCAGCATCACCCAGGAACCCACCCTGTGTCACTGTAGGACACGAGACAGCACGAGCGCACACCGCTGCTCTCTAGGTGACGAAAAGGGGAGTTTATTTTCTGATTCCAGCATTTATAGATTTCCAAAAGTGACAGTGGATTGGAGGGTGACACTGGACAAACCAACAGCCCATCCAATTTCTCCTCCTCCATAAAGGAATGCAAACCAATCAGTTATTTACAGAAAGCGTGTGAGAAAGTTCATTACAAGAATGTCAACATCAGAAGGCTTCAAAAATCTTAAAAAATCAGGGTGACATCCCTGCCTTGACACAGGTGTGTGAGCCCAGAGGTGCTATTGGTTCCACCTGGTGACCCCATCTGCAGCAACCCCAAAGTGTTGGGGAAGCTTTAAATAGGAGGGCAGGGAGGTGGAGGTCAGCTCAGCCAGGCTGTGCTTGCTCCTCGCTCTGCCATAGCCCCTGGGGAGGAGGTTCCAGCCTCACTCTGCCTTCCCTGCCCCAGAGCCAAGGGATAAAACAGGTCAGCTCCTGGGTTTGTGCTTTCTCTCTGCAGCTCCAGGGAAAACGGGAAAACACAGGAGGAAAAGGAGAGGTTCTGTACAGCTCCTCTGCTAAAGGAGGTGGGAACTGCTTTAATTACTCAGTTTGAGGATTTTATACAAATTATTGCTGTTCTTTTTTTTGATTCTTTTAATTACTTTCCTCCTGGGCTCCCTCTGAGGGGTGGCCCTGCTCTGGGGCTTGTTCCACATCCTCTGGAGGAGAACAGAAGGGCTGTGCCAACCCTCCCATCCGCATGGAAGGTGTTTAGCAGTGGAGGGAAAACCTCACCTGGCATTTGGCCGAAGGGTGACTGTGCTGTGCTGGTGCTGCCCTGCAAAAGGTAAAGAGATGTTTGAAAGGATGACTTTTCAAAGCAAGGCAGCTCTCTGAGTGGAATTCACACACACTATTTGAGCCTGGCTGCTGTGAAGGGTTTAACTCCATGATTTCCTCACGGGAATTAACAGATGTAGGCTAAGCAGAGATTGTGAAGGTCTTGTGCAGAGCTGCTAAGAGGAGGAGTATCAAGATAACTGGCTTCTTCCTCCTGTCCCACAGAGTCCCTCAAGGCAGGCAGAGTGCTGAGGAGTCCTTTGGCTGTTGGCACAAACCAGGCAAGGTGAGCTCTGAGCCCTCGAGTGGCCAAAAGGGGCAGATTCCAGCCCATGTTCCAGCTCAGCTGGGCTGGCTCTGCTGCCCCAGGGCTGCTTTATCTGCCCCTTCCTGGCAGGGTGGGTGGAAAGAGAGTTCCTAAACCCTATTTGGGTCCTACAGCAATGGTGATGATAATAATAATTTTATTAATCATCATCCTCTCCTCTTGGTCCCCAGGTAAAAGAGAATTACCCCTGGAGTGACCCTCCCAGTGCCTAATTCCTTCCAAAGCACCTGGCCAAGGCACCTGCTCCCCTGGAATCCCCCTGAGCTCTGCTTTGGGGAGCTCCAGAGAGGAACAGAGAGCCCCCAGCTGCGCTGCTGTCACTCTGCTGTCCCTGGCCCTGCTGGTGGCACGCTCTGTCCAGTTTGCATAGTGCAAACAGGAGGTTCCTGCCACAGCAGGCAACCAAATTTAGAGGTTTAGATTTGAATTAAATTTGCCAGCTCTGAGGACTTCCTTCTACTGCAAGGGAAGGTTTGCAGCTGCTCCCTGCTCCACCATGGAAATGAGCTCTGAGCCTGCACTGGCCACACGGGCTGCAGAGGTGGCAGGAGATGACAGGAGGTGTCAGGAAGGAGCCCCTGGGCTTGTGGACAGAGGAGTGTCCTTGTCACACGGGCAGGGCCTGCACCTGTCCCCAGCTGAAGCCATCACATGCAAATCCAGGTCACTTTTGAGGAAAGAGCCGAGCTGGGAGGTTCAGATGCTGCCCAGAGGACCAGGGGCTGCAGGGATGGGAGCTGGGATGCTCTGCCAGCTCCCTGGGCACGGCTGGCAGCCTCCAGCAGGGATCATTTCCAGTTACCAGAGCATTTAATCTTTGATCCTGTCTGTTCAACAGCCACTGGAACTGCCTGCCTGTGTGTACACACCTGTGGTGAGGAGTCCCAGAGGTGCCAGGAGCTACCAGGGCTTTGCCTGCCCGAATTCAGTGCAGGAGCCTCTGCTGCAGCCCATCCTTGGGCTCATCAGAGCAGAGCCCTGCATTTCATTCCCCTTCTTGCTCCTTATTGGCCTTAATTGAGACCCATTAATTCATTTCCTCCCTGCAGTGCTTCCTTTGCCTGCCATGGCAATGGGGAGCCTGCATCTCCTGCAGCTCTGCTCAGCCTCCCTGGGGCCCAGAGTGTGTCCAGCTGCTGATAAGCTGGGCTCAGCCTGCCCTGCCCATGGCCAGGCACAGATCCTTCCTGGGATTGCCCCAGAGAGCTCTGCTGCTTCACTGCCTCCTAACTCCCCTACAAATCTGCCTGAATTTAAGGATCCAGCTCCAAATGATGACCTGGCCCTGCCCTGTGGCAATGCTTTGGCTTCAGGGCATCCCCTCTCTGGGCCCAGTCTGTAGTGGAGCAGCTGAAGGAATAAAAATCCTCCATAAAAGCAAAGGTGAGCCTGGGCAGGGCAGTGCTGGCTGAGTGTCCCTGCTCTGGGAGTGCTGCTGGGCACTCAGCAATGGATCCTCTTTAAACCCCAGCCCTGCCCTGCTTCACTGTGCAGGCACCTCAGAGAAGACAGGAATCCTTTCCCCCTGCAGAGAACAACTGCAGGCTCACACCTGTGCAAAGGAAAATCCAGAGCCTCCCTAAAGCCCAGCCCTGAGCCCTGATTTTGGGTGGGTTTCCTCACAGCACACCCTGATTTCCATCACTCCATGTGTGCAAGGCCTGGCTGCCAGGAAATTGTTGAAACCTCATCCCAAAGCTCTGCTCTGCTGAGGGTGAAGGCTGAGTAGAAGCTTAGATGGAGGTAGGACATAAAGAAAGTTATAGGGTGGGAGCTATAATTTGTTGAGTCAAAACCAACTGTCTTAGACTAACTTTCTGTTATCCTGCTCATTCTAACCTGCCTTGAATTCATTCACAGACTAGTCCTGGGGTAAGGAGGAAGATGAGTGAGGAGGTTTCAGGCTAGGGTGGTGGTAGAGGCCTGGCACCAACAACTGCCCAGGGCTGGTTTAATTCTGGAGCAAAGATCACCCTCAAACAAAAGATGCAGCTAAATTACCCTGCATCACCAACAGCCAGAGGTGTGTTCAGTTATCTGCCCCTGGCTTTGATTCTGCCTTGTTTTCTGGGTTATATTCTGCCAGACAAACAGAGCTGCACTCCCAGCTGCTCTTTTCATAATACATCCGAGCAAATACGGATGTTTGCCCTGCACAATCCTTTTTTGTCTCTCGCAGGGAATGAGCAGCAGGGCTGGTTTTGCATCAGGTAGAGACACACACACAACTGCTGGGCCCTGAGCACAAAGCCCAGGGCAATAAAGGCAGGAGGATTTTACAGTCCCAGGGCGTTTCCTCTGTGGCTGTTGAAGCTGCCGCCTGCACAGAGGTAGCGGGTCACTGCTGATAGCACCAACTGCAGCTGTTGTCTCAGCTGCTTCCCAAGAATTCTGTCAGGACCCAGCACATCCCTCTGGCCGTCCAGGATGGCCAGGACACCTGCCAGGGGGCTCAGAGACCCTGGCACAGAGCCCAAAATGCCCCTGTGGGTTTGATTACGACCTGTGGAGCAAATTACCAACCTTATATGAACATCAGCAAGCCATGACAGTTTAGGTAGAATAATAGTGAAGTTATCACAGGGTGGAAAAGTAGATTTTGGGGTTTTTGGTATGGGGGTTCAGGGGGCAAGATGGAGGGATCTGGGCATGTCCAGCCTTTTTCCTTCTTCTTCTTGGCCTCCATCTTCTGCTGTGCTGGTGGCACTTTGGGATTGGTTTAGAGTAGAAGCTCAGTGTCTAACACAGGTGATGGGTATTGGGAAGTAATTGTAAATATTGTACAGGCAGTTTTTAGTATAAAGGCATAACCCTGCCCTGGGGGCAGGCAGAGTGCCTGGAACTGTCCTGCTGGATGGACCTGGGCAGGGCAGGAGAAAGAATTTTATAGATAAGGGACAATAAACAACCTTGAGACTGAGAAATGAAGAGCCCTGACTGCTTCATCAAGCACCAGGTGGGAAAAGAGACTTTGGAACTTTTCTTGGGGTCACTGTGAGCAGTGAGAGATCCTGACAGAACTCTTCCTAAATATCTGCTGGGAGTGTGCCTGCCCCAGCGGCTCAGGGGGCTTCTGCCTCCCTGCAGCAGCTGAAGCTGTGGGGATGGATGAGTGCCTGGATTTTGCTGTGTTTGGTGATGCCCAATCCTGGTTTGGTTTGGGTTTTTTTTCTGCCTGTTTTGTTGCAGGGTTAATAGGCCTGAAAGTCACAGCACGTGAGTCCCTGTGAGGCCTCTCCAGCATAAAGAAAAGCCAGAGGAGAATGGTTTTGAGGGAAAAAAGCATCAGAACTCCCAATTTCTGCTATCGGTGATCCCAGGCTCTGCTCCCTCTCTCTCCCTGCAGGACCAGCTCCTGCTCCCCCTCCTCTGCCACTGTCCCAGCTGGAGGTGAGGAGCTTTGCCCAGCACAGGTGAGTGCCAGGAGCACCCAGGGAAGGTTCCTCGTGCCACTGGCTGCCACCACATCCTGCCATCACAATATTTTGTCCCCTTCTGGGACAGCCTCCCTTTGTGGCTGACAATTGAGACATAAAACCAACGTAGTGCAGCAGGACTTGGGTTTCCTGTTGCCATAGAAGCACTTTAAGAGGAAATCATCTCTTCCAAGCTGATGCTTGGCCTCTTTCCAGCCCATCACATCCCTGCAGCTCCCCTGGCACCCTGAGAGGAGCTGGAAGGAGCTCAGCATTCGGGGAAGAACTCAGATATTTTCAGGGCACTGACTTGTCCAAGTGTAGCTGCTGGAAAAGGAAGCTGGCTTGAGAAGGTGTCACATGTAGGATGTGAGAGGAAAGAGGAATTTAACATCACTGCCATGCTTGAGAAAAGGAAAAAAAAAAGGGGGGTTGAGGCATTTAAGGTTGACAGATATGAAAGTCAAGGAGACATCATGTTTTGGAGAATGCATTACATTAATTATATTAATTATGTTAATATTGGCAGTGCCCCAAACTGTTTTTGAGGCAGAGGATGGGATGAGGGAATTTATGGGGTTAAAAAAGCGGTAGGGGACGGGACGGGACTCACGCTGAAGCGGGAGCCGCTGCTCTGCCGGGATCGCTTTTCAGCCAGGAGATCCTTGACCGTGTGCTTCACTCGCACCCCTTGGTACACGCGTTTGCCAAAATCTGCAGGGACTGAGCGAGCGCAGAGTTCAGGGAGAGCACAGAGCAGCTGGGAGAAGCAAATTCAGCACCTCTGTGCATCGGGTTGGGAGGGGAAAATACAAATCTGCAATTCTAACGTCTAGAAATGTAGATATATTTGTAATCTAGAAATAGATAGCTTTCAAGACATATAAATTATCTATTATATATATAATTATCTATTATATACATAATAGATAATATGTATATTATATATATTATCTATTTTATATATATGTGTATTATATATATTATCTATTATATATATAATTATCTATTATATACATAATAGATAATATGTATATTATATATTATCTATTTTATATATAATATAGTGCATATTATAGTATATTATATATATAATAGATTATATATAATTATCTATTATATATGGGAATATATAGAATATATCTAATATATTCTATATATTCCCATGTATAGAGATAAAATATAGAAAATATATTTGATATATAAATATATAGATAATATTAATAAAATATTACTTGTTGATATAAATAGAATATTATGTTGGGAAGGCACAGAGGGTCCCTGCCCTGGCCCCTGCTGGGTCTGGCTCTGGTTTTTTGCCCTGGAGCCCAGCACAGCCTAAACCAGCTCTGGGTGGCTTTGGCACGAGGCATCTGCCCTCCCCCTGAGCCTGGGCTGGATTTTGGGGTTTGCACAGAGGTTGTGGCACAGGTGAGAGCTGAGGGACAATGCAGGGACAGCTCTTTTGTCCTGCCTGAACCCAGCTTGCACCTGTGGAGCCAGGGAGGAGCTTCCACGGGGGCTTTTATTGAATTATCCCGGAAAAAACCTGCCTGCCTTTGAAGCTAATCCTTTGGAAAACACAGAGGCACGCTCTCCCGAGGCAGAGCAAACTGCCAGGGCACAGCTGATGTGTTTGATCTCCAGGATTTATCATTTGGCTCTTCTGCCCCTCAGGATGTGTCCCTTGGCTCTGTTTCTGGTGGCATTGTGGCTCCAGGTGCACACACACACACCAGGAGAGGTGGGAGGGTTTAAACAACACACTGCTGCCTTGGCCTTGCCCCAAATGGGGTTTTTTTATTATTTTTGAGGTCGTAGCAGCTGCAAATTTAGGCTGGTAGAATTTTATTTTGGTGTTTGAGCCAAGGCCAGGCACAAAGCAAACACAAAGCAAGGGACAGATTCCCAAAAATGAGATGAGGTGAAGATGGGAGTTCCAAAAAAAAGGCAACAAAAGTGGCCAGAAATGGACATCAGCTCTCACAGGCGGAGGAATTCCAGCAGGCCTGGTGCTCTGCAGCTTTCCTGACACCATTGCTGTGCTCTAAAGGCATTAGAAAATCATTTCCACACCCCTCTGCTGTTCTGGGCTGTTGAGATCACTTCACTCACATCCTCCCTTGTTCCTCTGCCCAAATTGTTTTAATTTAGGATCACTCAGCCCTCTAACCCTGGGCTGAAGTTGTCACACAGCTGAGCCTGTTGCTGCCAGTGGATTATCCAAAAAACTTCAGATAACTTTGCCACTGGCAGCACTGGGGAAGAAAATGCTAATTCAGGCCTGAGTTTAAATCATTTCCAAGCAAATTGAATCCAATTTCACATCACTTTGATCTAACTGCCTTTTGAATAAAAAAAAAAAAAAAGAATAAAGCATTGCTCTGTGAAGGAATATAAATTCAGTCTGGAGAAGGCAGAATATTAATTGATACTATTTAATTCTTGGGACATTTAAGATGTCACATGTCTATTCTAGACAAATTTTTGGGGTTTTTTTTTTTTTCAATAGGAGCCCAAGGACAGCACAGCCCTGATATTGCCATGAAGATTCCTCAACTTGGGAAGATCTGAGCTGCTGCAACTCACCTGCTTCCATTGTTGGTGCTGCTGACGAGTCCCAGCTCCCAGATCCTGCAGGAATTTGGGGCAGATCTGTCCCTCATCAGCTTCCCAGAGCAGAGTGAAGCCTGTGCTCATAATTCCCTGGGAAGGTTCCAGCTGAGCCTGGCGGAAATGGGTTTTTAGAATTTAGGGATGTCTCCAGCACCATACCTCGTTTGGGATTTGCTTAAATGCAAATCCCTGGATCTGTGTTTGGCTCCACTTTGCATGGTCAGTGTGGGTCCTTCCCCAGGAGCCTCCTTCCTGACTGAGCTGATATTCCATGGAAAGGAAAGGAAAGAGGAAAGGAGAAAAAGGAAGGGGAAAGGAAAAGGGAAGGGGAAAGGAAAGGAATGGAGAAAGGAAATTTTATAACCATTTTATTACTGTTAAACTTTTAAAATTTTAAAAACAAGTGATTGGCGTTTTTCACAAGGTTAAATCCCCATCCTGTGGCTGCTCAGTGCAGGTGTTTTCTGTGCTGGCTGCAAAGCAATTCCATTGAGAACAGAGAGAGAACAAAAGCTCAGCCAGGCTTCTTTGAGATGGAAACCTCTTACCTGGTGTTTTCTATTCAAAAATCATCACACCCACATTTTCTGGGTACTTTGGTGGAGTTGGGCACTTGTTTGCCACTCACATCAGGGCAGAGCTGGGGCTGTGGTGGGATTTGCAGAGGCTGTTGTTTGTTGTCACAACACACTCTGGGTGTCACAGACATATTTTATGAAAAATCCTTTTGCTAGGATCTTTTGTCCTGAGAAACTGAGAAGCCTCAGAAACGAAATGTAAACAATATAAAATGGTATTTTATGATTGACTTTTTGCAAATATTCAAGTGAATATTATATGTGTTGTGTTAGAAAGGTATGCTGTATTAATTTTCTTAAGTAGTGTGTTAAATATAGTTTTAGGTTATAACATAATGTTAAAATAGAAACTATGCTGTGTAAGGCATTTTTTTAAAGAAAGGACTCGCACTGAGATAGCAGCCACAGGACACCCGAATCTTTCAGAGAAAGAGAATTTATTGCTCCCTTATCAGGAGAAACGAACTTCCTGCCTCGCTCAGGCTTGAAGGCGCCGTCAGGATTCAGAGGAAGAAGCTGACACTGCCCAGCCGGAATCCTGTGTTGGAATAGAATTTATGCACCATGGATGAGGTGTATGAATATGCAACAGGCTGTTGCTTTTAAGGGTTAATGCTCTGTTAATGTGGGTCCTCTTTTGGGCTTAGGTACCCAGACTGTCCCTAACCCTTTGTTTCTATTGTCTCCTTGTGTCCTAATCCAAATTGCCCAAAATTTTTATTACTCTAATTATATTTCTATTTTTATAACCATTTTATTACCATTAAACTTTTAACATTTTAAAAACAAGCGATTGGCGTTTTCCACGCTGCCATTACCCACGGCCCTAAACAGCCTGGGAACCTTTGTGCCACAGCACTGCTTCCCGGCAGGGCCTCTCTGCCGCCGAGCGCAGTCAGCGGGTTCCTGCGCGCTGATTGGCAGGCGAGCGGGCAGCGGCCTCTGTGATTGGCGGGCGGGCGCGCGCGGTGCGTCTCGTTGCGGGGCCCCCCGCGGGGCCGAGGCGGGCGGCGGGCCGCGGGTGGCGGCGCCGCTCTCCCCGCAGCCCGTGGGTCCCGCCGGGCTCGGCGCCGGTTCCGGGCGGTGTCGGCAGCCCCGGGCGGCCCCGCAGCAGCCCGGCCATGCCGCCCGGCCGTGCGGGCGGTAAGGCGGCCGTGGTGCTGCAGTGCGAGTGGCAGCAGTGCTCCTTCGTGGCCTCGGACATGGAAGAGTTCTGCGCGCATGTGGCGCAGCACCTGCAGCAGCACCTGCCCGGCTCTGGCGGGCAGAGCGCCGAGATGGATCCTCTGGGTGAGGCACTGGGGAAAGGGAGGCTCAGGGGTGCCCTTGTGGCTCTGCACAAGCCCCTGACAGGAGGGGACAGCCAGGGAGGTCGGGCTGTGCTCGCAGGGAACAACAGGACGTGGAAAATGTCCTCGAGTTGTGCCTTGGGATGTTCAGCGTGGACATGAGGGGGAATTTCTGCATGGAAAGGGGGGTCAGGCCTTGGCAGGGGCTGCCCAGGGAGGTTTGGAGTGCCCACCCCTGGAGATGTCCCAGGAAGGGCTGGAGGTGGCACTGGGTGCCCTGGGCTGGGCTCAAGGTGGGCATCGGGCACAGCTGGGACTCGCTGGTGTTGGAGGGATTCACCAGCCTAAATAACCCTGGGATTTTCTGGCCAGAGAGAGCTTCTGGCCTTTGTTCTCTCCCTGAGCAGGGCTGGGTGTCAGGAGAACACCTGTGGTGTTTGTGCAGCTGCACCAGCTGAGCTGCACTGGGAGAGTAAAGGGACTTGGAGAGACCTTCGAGCTGAGCTTGTGTGGGGCAGAGGGGAGGCCTGAGCTCCAGAGGAGCAGTCTGAGTTGCAGAGGATGTTTTTTTTGTGTTGCAGAGGAGTGGTTTGAATTGCAGAGCAGCTGTCTGTCTGTGTTGCAGAGGAGTTGTGTGTGTTCCAGAGCAGCTGTCTGTCTGTCTGTCTGTCCCAGCAGTCTGTCTGTCCCTTGCAGAGGAGTACACGTGCCTGTGCCAGGACTGTGGTTTCTGCTCCCCAGAGCTGTCTGTCTGTCTGTCCCAGCAGTCTGTCTGTCCCTTGCAGAGGAGTACACGTGCCTGTGGCAGGACTGTGGTTTCTGCTCCCCGGCGAGCTCGGCCGAGCTGGTGCGCCACGTCTACTTCCACTGCTACCATACCAAGCTGAAGCAGTGGGGGCTGAGGGCCCTGCAGGGCCAGGCAGAGCTCAGCCACTGCCAGCTGGACTTCCAGAGCCACAACATCATCCCTGAGATCCAGGAGAGCTTCCTGTGCCTCTGGGAGTACTGCGAGGTGAGAGCCGAGGGGAAGGGGAGAGGCTGCTGTGTCACCGTGGGGTTGTGAAGGAACCTAGGATGGGCTGGGACAGGAGTGAATCTGACTCCATGTGCTCAGAGGCTGATATGTTACCCTTCTGATAAGGTGGAGTCAGATGCATCATTCTCTCCCCTTGTCAGGGCAAAAATACCATCTCTGCTGCTCTGCTGCACAGCTAGAGGCTCTGTCTGGAGCTCTGTGGGATCATCTGGGCTTGTTCTGGTCTCTCTCACCGTGCCCTGTGTGTCCTTGTCCCCTCAGAGGTCGTTTGACAACCCCGAGTGGTTCTACCGGCACGTGGAGGATCACAGCTTCTGCTCTGAGTACAAGGCAGCAGGGAAGGAGAACCACGTGCTGCTCTGTGGCTGGAAAGGTTTGTGGGAGCCTGCAGGGCCTCTCCTCAGAGCTTTGGGCTGGGTGGCAAACATGAGAACAGGTTTCAGAGAGCCCCTTGGCCTTCAAAAATAGGTTTTCAAATTCCATGGTTTTGACTGTGAAATATTCCTGCAGAAGTTCCCTCAGGGAATCCAGTTGAGTGCTCAGAATTTCCTATTTATGTGTAATCAGTACCTTGGAGAAAAGGCTACAGATGGTTTATTTTTATTTTTTATTATTTTTTTCAATAATTTCTCCTGTGTTTGTGCAATTGCCCTAACTGCCTGGGGGGCCCACACTGGTTGTAGTGCGGTAGAACCAGTACCACACTGCTGATCTCACCTTGCTGATCTCACCCTTCTCTGTGGGGATTTTGGAGCCTTGCTGACCTAAACAGGGTGAGGAATCTGCTGTTCAGTGAGGCTGTGTCCCTTGGGAGGGCTCTCAGCTGTGCTGTCCCTCCCCAGACTGCAACTGCAGCTTCAAGGGCCGCTGCAAGCTGCGGGAGCACCTGCGCAGCCACACGCAGGAGAAGGTGGTGGCCTGTCCCACCTGCGGGGGGATGTTTGCCAACAACACCAAGTTCTTCGACCACATCCGCCGCCAGACCGCCCTGGAGCGTAAGCCCTGGGGCTGGGGAGGGCTGGCCTGGGCTGCTGGGGTTGCTGGAGGTGCCTAAACCCTGTGAGCCAAGGGCAGGGTGTGCTCGGAACAGCTGGCTTGGCTGCTGAGTGATGGCAGCCATAGAATCCCAGAATCATTTAGATGGAAAAGACCTCTGAGATTGATCCTCACCTTGTTAGCCGGCCGTGAGGGGTAGGGACTCTCCCACCTCCCTGGGCAGCGGCAGCGAGTGGGCGGGGCCTCAAAGGGGAGGGGGCGGGACCTGGCAGTGAGTGGGCGTGGCTTGGCAGTCCCTTCCAGCATCTGACCATCCTTTCCATGAAGAAATTCCTCCTGAAGTCCCACCTGCACCTCCCCTGGCCCACCTTTAGTCTGTGTCCCCCGGGCAGTGTCTCCTGGCAGAGGCAGGATGGAGGCTGTTCCTCCTGTGGGGACTCAGGGCTGCACACCAGGGTTTCCAGCCCCCTGGAACACCTCTCCTCACTGCTCCCTGTGCTGTTCTCCCTGCCCTGATGTCCCCTGTGCCTTCCCTGCCCCCTGGTGCAGAGCAGAGGTTTCAGTGCTCCCACTGCTCCAAGAGGTTCGCCACCGAGAGGCTGCTCCGCGACCACATGAGGAACCACGGTGAGTGAGGGGCCCTGCTCCCAGCTCAGCCCCTGGGCTGTGTGCTCTGCCCTGCCCTGCTCTGGGCTGACATTTCTCCCCGTTTTTGGCCCAGTGAACCACTACAAGTGCCCCCTGTGTGACATGACCTGCCCGCTGCCCTCCTCGCTGCGCAACCACATCCGCTTCCGCCACAGCGAGGAGCGCCCCTTCAAGTGTGACTACTGTGACTACAGGTGAGGGCCAGGGCTGGCCCCCTCCCCAGACCTCCCAGAGGCCTCTGTGTGTGTGTGTGCTGCAGCTCTGTTCCCTCACCTTGTGCTTCCAGCTGCAAGAACCTCATTGACCTGCGGAAGCACCTGGACACGCACAGCAAGGAGCCGGCGTATCGCTGCGAGTTCGAGGCCTGCAGCTTCTCTGCACGCTCCCTCTGCTCCATCAAACTGCACTACAGGAAGGTCCACGAGGTGGGAAGGCAGCAGAGCTTGCATTGCTCGTGATGCCCCATGTCAGTCTTCTCAGAGAGCTTTCTGTCTCCTTCCCTGCACCCTGCTGGGGTGCTGACACGGCTCTCTGTGTCCCTCAGGGTGACTCCGAGCCCAGGTACAAGTGCCATGTGTGTGACAAGTGCTTCACACGGGGGAACAACCTCACTGTGCACCTCAGGAAGAAGCACCAGTTCAAATGGCCCTCAGGACATCCTCGCTTCAGGTACTGCTCCCCTTCAGCTCCTCAGAGCCCCCTCTCCAGTGCATCCTGCGTTGTGCTGTAAATGTGTTCAGGACCCTTTTCCCAGTGGCTGGGAGGCACTGGGCAGTAAATGTTCAGTGGGATCTGAGCAGTGCTGGCTGGCAGCTCCAGGGCAGTGGTGCCATCACTGCTCCCTCTGCTGGGACATTTCTGAGCTTGGCAGGGTGTCCCCCTCTGGATAGATCAGTCTTGGGACAGAAGCCTCTGCTGCACCCCCTGTAGGAAACTCCAGAGGTTTCCAGAGCCTGAAAGCTGGGATGGGAAGAGGATGGACTTGAAATGGTCCCAGTGAAGCAGAGTGGTGGAAGGAGATGAGCAGGGGAGGGCATTGAGCCTGGCACAGAGCTCAGAAGCTGCCACACGGGTTTGCCTTTGGGAGTAGAGGCTGAAACAGCATCTGTGCAGCACGGGGACTGAACCTTGGCTGTTGTGCCCTTTCCCTGGCTGTTGCCCATCTCCTGGGAAGGGGGGTGTGCCTGGCTGACCCCTCCTGTCTGTGCCCAGGTACAGGGAGCACGAGGACGGCTACATGAGGCTGCAGCTGGTGCGCTACGAGAGCGTGGAGCTCACAGAGCAGCTGCTCAAGGACAGGGAGAAGCGTGGGGAGGCTCTGGATGGCTCCAGCGAGTGCATGGTGCTGCCTGAGGGCCAGGGCAGCCTGCAGGGAATCCTTCTGGAGCCTCCAGCAAACCCTGCCCCGGCAGAGAACAGCACATCAGAGCTGCCTGTGCCCCCAGCCCTGTGCTCTGCTCCCAGCCCTGAGCCAGCACGGCCCAGCCCCTTCCCAGGAGCTGCCTCCTCCTCCTCCTCCTCAGAGCAAGGAGCCAGCAGCAGCAGCAGCAGCCCCATTATCCGTGTGGTGAGCAGGACCAACGAGCAGGGCCAGAGTGAGACTGTCTATTACGTGCTGGCCAGCACAGCCTCGGAGCAGCAGGGCACAGCAGGCCTGGAGCTGGAGGAGAACGTCATGGACAGGCTGCAGAAAACAGCTGAGGAGCTGGGCATCCAGATCCTGTGAGGGGCTGCAGGGCTTCCAGATCCTGTGAGGGGCTGCTGGGCATCCAGATCCTGTGAGGGGCTGCTGGGCATCCAGATCCTGTGAGGGGCTGCTGGGCATCCAGATCCTGTGAGGGGCTGCAGGGCATCCAGATCCCCTGAGGGGCTGCAGGGCATCCAGATCCCCTGAGGGGCTGCAGGGCATCCAGATCCCCTGAGGGGCTGCAGGGCATCCAGATCCCCTGAGGGGCTGCAGGGCATCCAGATCCTGTGAGGGGCTGCAGGGCATCCAGATCCCCTGAGGGGCTGCCCCTCTGCAGCAGGAGAGCTTCAGCCTCCTGGGATGTGCTGCTGGAGGAGTGCTTGAGGATGTGCTGCTGGTTCTGGCAGCATGGGGAGAGGGGAGGGATGCATCCCCCAGGTGTGAATCAAGTGATCTGAGTGGGAAGGAGCTCTCTGCCTCCTCCTTTTGGGGACTGGGGCCTGTCAGGGTTCTCCCACCCTTCTGGGAGGTTTGGCCTAGGCCTGGCAGGATGGAGTGCTCACCAGTGTGCCCTTCTGAGCCTGTTCCCCAGGCAGGATGGTGTGGAGCACACTCTGGTGCTGAAGCCTCTTCCCTGGGAACACGTGTGGCCCTTGGCAGGGCTGCCCTGCCCCATCCATGCCTTCTCCAGGGGGTATCATGCCTTCATCAGCACTTCCTGCACACCTTTCCTGTCTCACCTGCTGCTGCTGGTGTTTGCCCCCCTGATCCCAGAAGCAGCACTGGGCTCTGGGAGGGCAGTGCTGGAGCTGCTGTCCCTTGCAGGCCAGTGCAGCACTGGGACATTGGGAGCTTCTTGCTGCTTTTGGCATCCCCTGGGTGTCCTCCCCACATTGGGGTTTGGGCTCCTGGCTGGGCAGAGTGTACTTTGGCAAGACAAATAAACATCAGGCTGCCAGGCCCAGCAGTGTCTGGTGTTTTTCTGCTCAGCCCTACTCGTGCCAGTGCTGGGAGGAGGGCACTGGGATGCTGCAGGGTGGGAGGTGGGCACTGAGGAGCTGCCAGGCTCTCCTGGCACTGTGCAGCTGGCACTGGAGTGTGCTGCTCCCCAGAGGTGGCACTGCAGGGCTGGGTTTAGCTCTGTTCCTGCTGAGTTTTGCTGCCTCCCCAGGGCTTTGTTTGAATACAGGGAGTAGCCTGGGTTTGTGAGCAGAGCCAGCTCATCTTTGTTGAGTGGCTGGACAAGGACAGTGTGAATTTGGGGTCCCTGGAGTGCCCTCCTTGCCCTGTGTGTGGAGGTGATGTGCCCAGGGGGACACAGTGCTGCTCTGAACTGACTTTCCCCCATTGCTCTCTCTCAAGCAGCTGAGCAAAAGCTGCTGGAATTCCGGGGTGTTGAGGGAAACCCCTTGATCCCAGCACCTCTGGGAGAGGCAGGAGCTGTCCCTGAGAGCCCCCACTGCTGGGGGAGGCTCTTTGCTGCAGGCAGAGCATCCCTGCCCTGGGCACTTGCCTTGCCCGGCCTTCCCATCCCTGCCCTTGGCACTTGTCTTGGCAGGGCTGGGCTGAGCTGCCCTCGAGGGAAGGACAGAAGGGCCCCGTGCCAGGTTTGCATTCGCAGCACTTCGGCCTGGCCCCGGGCAGGGCTGTGCTGCTGCTGCTGGCTTTGGGGCTGGTGCTGGAGTGTCCCTTTAAACACTGCCTCGGGCAGGCTCATCTGCCAGGGATTATCTGCTGGGGAGAGGATTGGCATTAAAGGCAATGTCTCCTCCCTTCCCCCTGTCCTGCAGCATCCCCGGGCCTGAGGGGGTGAGTGCAAACCAAGATCACTTTCTCCTGGGTGAGCACAGAGGGCTCTGGGCTTGGAGGGGCAAGGGGAGGAGGCAGATGATGGCACTGGGCCTCCTCTTCCTCGCCGTGCTGGCCACGCTCACCTCCTGCCAGGACCCAGAAGGTAACAGGGGGCTTGGGGCATGAGGGGCTTTATGGGGTGCCCCAGAGCTGGCACCAGTCCTGCCCAGTAAGGAGCAAGAGCAAGGCTTGGCTCAGGGGAGCTGAGGTCTGAGTGGCTGCGCTCACAGCAGGGCTTGGGGAGGGCTGGGATGGCTTTTGTGGGGCTCTGAGGGCCGGGCAAGGGCTGGCAATGGTGTCCTTGCCCCCGGTGGCCCCAGGAGACCTGGACACGTACTGGTCTGGCACGGCTCCCATCTGCCTGGGGGGCTGCAAGGGGAGGCACAAGGAGCTGAAGAGGAGCCAGTGTGGGAACGGCAGCTGCTGCTGGCTGGGCTACAAATCCTTCTGCAGAGGTAAAGCCGGGGGACCCTGGGGATGCTGCGGGGCTTTGTGCCACACTCGGTGTGAGCGCTCCCGCAGCCTGGGCCGGGCGGGGACACAGCCTGGGGCACGCTCAGCCCTGCCTGGTGACCCCTGGGGCTGTCCCCAGGGCCAGCAGCCTGCCAGTCCCTGTCCCCTCCCAGCGCAGGGCACAGCCCCTGTCCCCCCTGCCCAGGGCACCCCTGGGCCCCCCGTCCCCCTGCCCAGGGCACCCCTGGGCCCCCTGTCCCCCTGCCCATGCTGCCAGCCCCGGCTGCATCCCTGTCCTCAGTGAACTGCGGGCGGCCCGAGGCGGATTTTAACTCGGTGGTTCACGGCAACGATTGGTGGGTGGGCTCCGTGGTGCGCTACAGCTGCCGGCCCGGCTTCGTGCTGCTGGGGGACCCCGCCAGCGCCTGCCAGTCCGATGGCCAATGGAGCCCCAAGCCCTCCTGCCTCCGTGAGTAACCCGGGGGTGCCAGCGGCTGCAGGCACGGCCCCGAGCCCTCCCGACGCCCGTGGGCTCCAGGTGAGCCCCCCGTGATGGGCTCTGCCCCCGCAGGGATCTGCCTGCGGGGCCGCATCGAGATCAGCGAGCGGGACCTCACGGGCCGGTGCTCCTCGTCCTGCGGCAGCCAGGAACACCTGGGAGCCTCCCCCAGCCGCGGCTGCATCAAGATCTCGGGCTGTGTCACCAAGCTGTCGGGCTGGCCCCACTGGCTCCAGCGCTGCGACATCTGCGAGTGCGACTGCCACGTGCCCTGCGGTGAGCCCTGCGGTGGCGCTGCCCAGCTGCGCGGCCCTGGTGCCAGGGCAAGGCTGGCAGTGGGAGAAGGGAGCTGCAAACAGCTCAAAATCCGCTGCCTTTGCTCTCCTCAGGTTCCTCCAGGTAGAGCTGGGCCAGCCGGGGCTGTGGCCGCTGTGCTGAGGGACGTTCCCACCCAGGCTCCTGCTTCCCTTCGCCAGAGTCTCCATTGTGCTCCCTCCGTAAGCTCTGTCTGTCCCAAGGCTGCCATCTGAGCTGTTCTGGGCTCACTCTTGCAGGGTGGCTCACCCCAGACTCTGCAGGGCCAGGGGGTGCTCTGGGAGCAGCAGGTGCTGGAATCTGGGGGTGTCATCCTCCATTTCCCTGGCTGCTTCTCAGAGCCCCTCTTAGAGGAGAGGCAGCACCTGTACCCGTACCTGGTGCAAAATACCTGTCCTTCAGTGCTGCAGGTTGGGATTTCTCCGTGTCAGGGGATTCCAGGCCCTGAGCTGGGAGGTGGAGCTGCCCCCTGAGCTCCCTGGGGCCAGCAGGAGTGTGGCATCTGCCTCCTGTCCCCATGGCAGGGACAGAGCGGCCTGGCCAGGGCTGCAGCACCCACTGCTGAGGAGCCAAACTGCCCTGCAGCCTCCCTGGGAGTGCAGGGGGGGAAAGGTCTCATGCCCCAGGTGGAAAATCTTCCCTACAGGCTGCTCCATGCACTGGCTGCTGGTGCTGCTCCTGCCAGGGGCTCTGTGGTCCTGCCCTGAGAGCCCCTTCCCGCAGGGCCTTCTCCTCCCAGCAGCTTGGGGCCACAAAGGGGGAGATGTGGCTCCAGCCAGGAACAGCTTTGTGGCCCTTGAGGACATCTCTGGCCCCTTAGGAAGCAGCCATGGAAGCAGTTTTACTCCCCCGGGGAAGGAGAGGGTGGCCTGGAGCACAAGTGATGGCCCTGCTGAGGGTGCTGTGGAGGACCAGCCACGGGGCATTAAAAATCTGTTTGCAGGGAATCCCACAGGTTTTCCTGTCATGCAAAGAGGTTCTGCTGCCTGCTCTGTCCCTGCAGCCCTGAACACAGATGACAGAACCAGGACAGGCTCCCTCTGCCACTGTCCTGAGTGGGGACACAGCTGTGGACAAGGCCACTTTAGGAAGGTCCCAGCTGGGGATTAGAGGGATGTGAAGGTCCCCATGGCACTGGGCTCCATCCCTGCTTCCTCCCACCTTGAAATGACTCCCCAGCAGCTGCTGGGTGCTTCATGGCCACCAGCTTGGGCCCAGCTGAGCAGAAAGGGGGTTAGGGGTGTCATTCCCAGGCCATTCCCTGCAGGGAGGAAAGGCTGTGGCACTGCCCAGAGCAGGCCTGGGCTGGCACCTGCACACAGGGAGTGCCCCAGGGCTGGGAGGCAGCTGGGTACAGAGAGAACCGGGTGAGCCCCACGTGCCTTTTGCTCCAGAACAAGATGACTTCAGATCTCCACGAGGAGCTTGGCTCCATGGACAACTCCTTGTGCCCTCCCCTGGTCTCCTCTGCCTGGATCCTGCCCTGAGCTCTGTCCCAGTCCTGAGCTGGCAGGGGGTGGGGAAAGCTCTCCTTGGCTCAACAGATGGTTTTTTAATTAATACTCCTGCTGGTGCCACTCATTTCCATATGTCTCTGGTGTTTAAGTGCTGTGGTGGGTGAGAGGTGTGAGTAACAGCGAGGAGGGAGCCAGGCGTGGTGCTGGGGAGGTGCAGGGGGATCCTGCAGGACCGGCTGCACCAGGGAGGGTGTGCTGGGGGTAAAAGCCCGGAGGGACACCCCCTGCCACCCCCTTTGTGACCAGCTGTCCCCCCACTGCCTGTCCCAAGCCATGGCTGCACACTGTGCCCGTGCTGGGGGCTCTGCACAGGGGCCTGGGCAGGGCTGAGCGGGGCAGGAGCAGCTTTAGGGTGTGTGGGGCTCCCTCAGGGGGGTTTGGGCTGAGGGGGCAGTGCGGGGGCGGTGCCCCAGATGCGGGCCCTGGGGTGCAGGGGATGCGGAGGCAGGGCTGGCAAACCCGGGCGTGTGCTCAGGGATGCTCAGGGCCTGCTGGCAGGCGGCGAGAGGAAATAGGGCCGGTCCCTTTAAGAGGATTTTTCGCTGCCTGGCAGCGCTGCCCGCCCGGGCAGAGCCCATCCATCCATCCATCCATCCATCCATCCTGCCGCCCATCCTGCTCCCCGCCCGGCAGCACCGGCCACGGGGCTGGGGCACAGCGGCGCCCCGAGCAGCCCGGCCTGGGGGGCTGCTGCCCACTGCGGGGCTACCGCTGCCCACTGCGGGGCCGGAGCGCCCCCGGCCCGCCCTGCCCACCCAGCCCCGCGGAGGGATGGGGAGGAGACCCGGGCCGGGCACCCGCGGGGGCAGCGCCCAGCCCGGCTCCCGCCGCTGAGCACCGCGGCCGAACCGAGCGGAACCGAACCGAGCGGAACCGAGCCGAACCGAGCGGAACCGAGCCGAACCGAGCCGAACCGAGCCGCCCCCCGCCCGGCCGGGCCCCCCGGGCATCGCCCCTTTGTCTGCGGAGGAGGCGAGGCGGGGGCGCTGCGGGAGCGGAGCCGCCGCCCCGCACCCTGCCAGGTGAGCCTGCGGGAGAGCCGGGAGCGTCCCCGGGGCCGGGCGGGGCTGGGGATGGAGGGGGCCGGCGGGGAGCGGGGATGAAGGAAGAGCATCCTCGGGCAAAGCCTTCCCGTCCCCACCCCGCGCCTCGGGGCTGGGCTAAGCCGCGGAGAGCCGCTTGCGGGATTTAGCGCTCCGTGAACGCCCAGCCGGAGGAGTCAAGGTGAGCCCGAGGGCGCTCCGAGCCCGCTGCCCCCCAGCAGCACCCCAGAACCCCCCGTTCCTGCACCCCGCGGATGCCGGGAGGGGACCCTCGGGATGGGAACCCCCACCCCTCCTTCCCCGGGGCTGGGCTGGCTTCATTCCAGCCCCGAGCGGGGTCTGCCTGCGGCAGGGCTGGGCTGGGCTGGGCTGGGGGATCTCCCGCAGCTGCCGGCGCCCCTCGCCGGGGCTGTCTGTGTGCGCTGCAGCCGCAGCGAGCCGCTGCCCGCATCCCGCAGCCGAATGTAGGTTAGCGAGGCGGTGGGACCCCAGGCTGGGAGGAGAGCTGGGTGCAGGGCACAGCTCGCTCCGGCACAGCCCGAGCTCCTTTTCCTGCTCCTGGGGGGATCCCCGACCCCCCGGCAGCCTCGGAGAGCCGCGCTCCCCACCCTGCTCGCTCAGCATCCCCCAGCACCGCAGAGCCCCCGAGCCGAGCGGGGCTCGGCCGTGCTGCAGCCGGCTCTGGAGCACTGCGGGCACGGCAGGGCTGGGGCAGGTGTACCAGCGTCATGGCCCCGGCTCCGTGCTGGCCTGGCCTCCGAGGCTGTGCTGGAAGAGCCCGGAAGGTGAAATGATGAGCGAGGAAGGCAGAGAAGGAATGGCACCAGCAGGGCCCCCTCCCTGTTCTGTTAAGGCTCTCCCAGCAAGCCCAGGGGGACCCCAGGCACTGTGTGAGGGTCTGATGCACCCAGGACTGCTCTGCCCCAGGAGCACGGTGTGCTTTGTCCAGGAAACCAGCTGGAATCATCTGCTTGTTTAGGGTTTCATACCCGTGTTCCCCAAGGCCAGGGCAGGGCTGGCTCCTGGTGAGTCCTTGGGGACACTCAGGCACAGGGCAGGACATCAGCCCCCCCTCCTCCCCTCCTGCACCCACTAGGACAAACGGCACCGGGGCAGGGCCCCCAGGGGCTGGGGGAGCTGAGCAGCTCCGGCAGCAGAGCCGGACCGAGCTGCAGGAGGTGCATGAATTATTGACTGTGGAGCTGAAGCAAACCCTGCTGCTCCTCGCCCCGAGCCCCTGGGCGCAGGCTCGGCTGGCTCCATCCTCGCAGCCAGATGTGGGTGCCGGCCCCAGCTGGGCGGAGGGGACAGCGAGGCCCGGAGCCAGCAGGAGCAGCAGGGACAGGACTCGCTGTGGGCTGGTCCCTGCAGTGCCTGGCAGAGGAGCCGAGCCCCGTGCGCTCCCCACAGAGCGGCAGGATGGCGGAGAAGGGCATGGATCCCGCCTGCGTCTCCATCGCCCTGGAGGACACGGTGTGCCACGCCGGCCCTCCCGACGCCCCGCTGCTCACCACCCACTTGAAGAAGGTGGAGAACCACATCACAGAGGCCCAGAGGTTTTCCCACCTCCCCAAGCGCTCGGCTGTCAACATCGAGTTCATCGACCTGTCCTACTCCGTGCGGGAGGGATCCTGGTGGAGGAAGAGAGGTAGGAGCTGGCGGGTGGGGAAGGGCAGGGAGGGGAGGGCTCTCCCAGCCCGTTCCCGTTCTGCACACCATGACCTCACCCTGCTCTGAGTGCCAGGGGCTCTTTGTGCCTGGGTGTTTGTTCTGGGTGCCCGTGGAGGAGGAGGCAGAGGCTCATGAACCACTGTGCTGGGCAATGCCAGGGGAAGGCAGAGCGCATTCCAGGGAAACCTCTGGCCTGGGCAGACACCCTGGGCCAGCTGGGAGGGGTGGGATGGATTCAGCACTGCTGTTTGGGGTATGATAGATGGGATGGGTTACCCCAGCACTGCTGTTTGGGGTATAATGGATGGGATGGGTCACCCCAGCACTCCTGTTTGGGGTATGATAGATGGGTTACCCCAGCACTGCTGTTTGGGGTATAACATCTGTGTGGGCTGCAGCAGGACACCCCAGCTCCCAGCCTGGCCAGGAGAAGTGTGTGGTTTGTGGGGGATTTCCTCTCCCTGTGAGCCCAGGCCGGGGCCCCTTCCCTGTGTGACTCTGGCCGGGAGCTCAGGGAGGGGAGAGGGGAGGCAGATGGCGGCTGGTGGGTGGCAGTCTGCTTTAATTAGCGCTCTCAGTTAATGGGATGCCAATCAGGCAGCCCGATAAGATGGAGGGTGAGCTGATCTGCAGAAGCTGAAGGCAGGCGGGGACGAGCAGGGACCGGGGTCACAGGGCTCGGCGAGGGGCTCTGCCAGCCAGGAGTGCCCGGTGGGGCTCTGCCCCGTCCCCAGGCTGTGCAGCTCGGGAATCCGAGGCGCTGAAACACCCTGGGAGCAGCCCTGACATCGGCCGGGATGGTGCCTCCCTGTTTACCCGGGGTGCTGAGGAATCATCCCAGAAGGATCCACGGCACAGCCGCGGGCTCGCCAGGGCGGGTTGTGCCCTAGCACCCAGGAGGAACCGGCTGCTTGCCAGCGGCCCAGTGCCTGCAGGGAGGCAGGGGGGGAGGCTCGGGCAGCTGGGCCAGGTGGGAGCAAGCCCAGGGGTGCGGGGGTCCCTGGGGTGGCGGTGGGAGGGGGCCTTTTCTCCCTCCGTTCAGGCAGGGCTGGCAGGGCTATCGGGGGGTCTCGGTGGCTTTGGCGACATCCCCCAGCCCGGCTGGCCCGCCGTGCTGAGCAGGAGGTTACTGGCAGTCAATGAACGTGAGTAACCGCTGCGCAAGCTGCAGTGGCGCCGACGTGAGCAGCATGCGCGGTGCGGAGCCGTGCGCGCTGCCGGGGGGGGGCTGCTGGCCCTGCTCGCCCCTGACCACCCTGAGCAGCCCCCCCCGGCCTCCCCTGCCCGCCCCCTGCCCGCGGGAGCCCCTCCTGCCGCGGGGGTCCTGACCCCGAGGGGCGCGGAGGGGGAACGGGGGGCTGGATGCCCTTCCCTGGGGATGGACGAGCCACAGGGCTCCCCAGAGAGGCGGGACTGTCACTGCCCTGCCCCTGGGCTTGCCCCAGCTTGGGTTTGCTGCCCTTGCCCCACAGCGGCTGTGCCCGTGGGGCACAGAGGGGACGCAGTTCCATTAGAGGGATGCTCAGGCTCGGTCCATGGGGTTATCAGCCCCCAAAACCAATTCCTGTCCAGCCAGGGCTCCATTTCAGGGGCAGATCCTGAGAGCCCGAGGCTGTGCTTGTTCCTTACTCCCGACACATCGTGTTCCTTCTGCCAGAAAATGCTAATCAGCCGCGTTTAAAGCAGAGATAATTCCAGGTCTGATTAGCAGCGGCTGCTGCCGGGTGCCACAGCGTGAATGCCAATGAAGGCAACAGCCGGATCGGGAATTCTGCCTGCCCCCTGCTGCCCCGCTCCGCGCTGGCCCTGCCCCTGGCCTTGGGGATCAGCATCTGAAGACAAACCCAGGAGCAGCCTGGTAATCTCCCTCAGCAGCTCTGACCTGACCCGGGGATTTCCCTGCTCTTTGCTGTGATCCAGGTCAGGAGCTTCTTCAGCGCCGGGAATCAGTGGGATCAGCCAAGGACCAGGGGCAGGGATGGTGCTGGAGGGGGCAGCTGCTGTGGCCATAGCCCCGGGGGTGCTGATGGGGCACACACAGCTCCTCCATGGCACACGGGGCTCCTGAGGCGCCCCAGGAGCTGGGGTGGCATGGCATGACCCTGCTGCTCTCCCCCTGCAGGGTACAAGACTCTCCTCAAATGCCTGTCAGGGAAGTTCTGCCAGCGGGAGCTCATTGGGATCATGGGCCCCTCGGGAGCTGGGAAATCCACACTAATGAACATCCTGGCTGGCTACAGGTGGGTCTGGGGGGGCCCAGAGGGGCTGGGGGTGCAGGGCTGTGCTGCATCCCCCCACCCCTCCCTCCTGCAGGGAGACTGGCATGAAGGGGCAGATCCTGGTGAACGGGCGGCCGCGGGACCTGCGCACCTTCCGCAAGATGTCCTGCTACATCATGCAGGATGACATGCTGCTGCCACACCTCACCGTGCTCGAGGCCATGATGGTGAGCTCCGGGGACATCCCGTGGGGCGAGGGACATCCTCTGGGGACATCCTGTGGGCTGGCTCCTTGTGGGCACTGAGCCCACACCAGCACTGGGCATTTCCAAGGGCTCTGGGATGCAGGAACAAAATCCTGCTGTCCGTGCTCCCTCCATGCTGAGCAGACAGGGCTGCAACCACGGTGCAGCCAGCTCTGTTCTCTACACCTGACAGTCCTGTCTCCGTGGCCATCCTCTCCCTGCAGGTCTCTGCTAACCTGAAGCTGAGTGAGAAGCAGGAGGTGAAGAAGGAGCTGGTAAGGGCTGGGGAGGGTGGGCCCAGACCCCCTCAGCTCTCCCCAAGATGGGGACAAGGGGAGCAGGGGATGGCAAGGGTGAAGGGAGGGGGATGAAAGCCCATGCAAACCCTTGGCTGTGTGACAGGTGAACGAGATCCTGACGGCCCTGGGGCTGCTGGAGTGCTCCTACACCCGCACCAGCTCCCTGTCGGGGGGGCAGCGCAAGCGCCTGGCCATCGCCCTGGAGCTGGTCAACAACCCGCCCGTCATGTTCTTCGATGAGCCCACCAGGTGAGCCCACAGGGGCTCCCAGCACTGCCTGCCCAGCTGGGCTGCCCCTGCTGGCCTGGCCAGTGCCCTCTGGCGCCCACCTGAGCGCGGGATGGGACCGTGCCCCTGGGGCTGGTGCTGCTCTGCATGGATCTGAGGGGAGGGTGGCCACAAGTGGGGCATCTTCAGCATGTTCTTGTCCCTCTCTCAACTCTCCCCTTGTCTCTCTGCTGTCTGTCTCTCCTCCACTCCCTCCTGCACGGCCACAGCGGGCTGGACAGTGCCTCCTGCTTCCAGGTGGTGTCCCTGATGCGCTCCCTGGCTCAGGGTGGGCGCACCATCATCTGCACCATCCACCAGCCCAGCGCCAAGCTCTTCGAGATGTTCGACAAGGTCTGGCCTGGCACAGGGTCCCTCTGGCCCCAAGAGCCATGAGAGGGCTTTTGTCCCAGGGCTCGTGGCAGGAGTGGGTGACAACGCCCTGGCTGCCCTGCACCTGCCACATCCTGGTTTTCTCTTGCAGCTCTACATCCTGAGCCAGGGCCAGTGCATCTTCAAGGGCGTCGTGACCAACCTCATCCCCTACCTGAAGGGCCTTGGCCTCCACTGCCCCACGTACCACAACCCCGCTGACTTCAGTGAGTGCCCCCAGCCCAGCAGAGGGTGGCGAGCTCCAAACCCACTGCCCAAGCCCTGGGGGCTGCCCAGGATGCCCAAGGGAGCTGCCTGTGCCCTTCCTGCTAGGTGCTGGTGGCTCAGCACCTCTCAGGGGCCCTGTCCTCCTCCACAGTCATCGAGGTGGCCTCAGGGGAGTACGGGGACCTCAACCCCGTCCTGTTCCGCGCCGTCCAGAATGGGATGTGCACCATGGCTGAGAAGAAGAGCAGCCCTGACAAGGCAGACTCATCGTGCCCAACGTGTGGGACGGTGAGTGGGGCTCAGAGGAGCCTCCTGTGCCAGCAGGGGCCCCGTGGTGAGAACCTGACCCACGTCCCTGTGCTCCTGCAGGACGTGGATCACATCGAGAGCCACACATTTGCCACCAGCACCTCAACTCAGTTCTGCATCCTCTTCAAGAGAACCTTCATCTGCATCCTACGGGACACGGTGAGGCCAGGGAGGGCTCGGGGTTGGGCTCTTTGGGGTCTGGCAGCGACAAGGAGCTCCACGGGCTGTCCTCTGCTCCCTTGGGACGTTTTTGGGGTGCAGCCCTGCCCTGCTGAGCCCCCTGTGCCCACAGGTGCTGACCCACCTGCGGTTCATGTCCCACATCTGCATCGGGGTGCTCATCGGGCTGCTCTACCTGCACATCGGCAACGACGCGGGCAAGGTCTTCAACAACACCGGCTTCCTCTTCTTCTCCATGCTCTTCCTCATGTTCGCTGCCCTCATGCCCACCATCCTCACCTGTAAGGAGCTCCCTGCCCTGAAATCCCCCCGGTGCTCCCAGGGGTGCTCCAGCTGTGTGGCACTGTGGGGTGTGCTGGGCAGGGTGTGGGGAGCCAAAGGCAAAAGGGGGAAAGTAAGAGAGGAGAGAAAAAATTAAACAGGGAAAAGGCTCCTGTTTGCCTGTATTGCAGTTTTCCCTTTGTTTGGCTATAATCTGGTTATTTGACCCCTGTTGGCTCAAAGTAGAATGCTAGAATGTCAATATTTTATTTTTTTAATCTTTGAAAATGCGTGTAAATCTGTAAAAAAGCCCCACCCAAGCTGACTTTTCCGCGTGGAAATTCCCCGTATCAGCCACTCATTTATTTTTTCCCCCAAGGAAAGTTTGGGCACCCTCTCATGATGCAGCTGGGGGGGGTTACCTGGTGCATCTCCCACCTGCAGGGCGGGTGTGAGAGGGGCTGGAGCACCCCAGGGCAGGGAATTTCTGGCTGCTCACCCCCTGCTCCCCTGCAGTCCCCCAGGAGATGACCGTGTTCCTGAGGGAACACCTGAACTACTGGTACAGCCTCAAAGCCTATTACCTGGCAAAGACCATGGCAGACGTGCCCTTCCAGGTGAGCTTTGGTGCCTTTGGTCACCGCCCTGATGCTGCTGTGCCACCCCTGGCACAGCCACTCCCTGCCCAGTGCCCCAGGCTGGCTGTGGAGGGGTCAGTGGGGTGGGGATGGCCCTGGGTGGGGTCAGTGGGGTGGGGATGGCCATGGGTGGTGTCTGTGGGGTCAGTGGTGTCTGTGGGGTCAGTAGGGTGGGGATGGCCGTGGGTGGTGTCTGTGGGGTCACTGGGGTGGGGATGGCCCTGGGGCCCAGCAGGGCTGTGTGTCTGTCCCTGCAGGTGATCTGCCCCATCGCCTACTGCAGCATCGTGTACTGGATGACGGGCCAGCCCCCCGAGGCCACGCGCTTCCTGCTCTTCTCCGCCCTGGCCACCGCCACCGCCCTGGTGGCCCAGTCCCTGGGGCTCCTCATCGGAGCTGCTTCCACTTCCCTGCAGGTCTGGCAGGGTTTACCTCTTCCGTGGAGAGTTGCAAGGGTCCCCGTGGCAGTCTGGGGTGCAGTGCTGCCCGTGGGTGGGCAGGGAGGTGACCCCCAGTGGCCTCTGCTCCCCAGGTGGCCACCTTTGTGGGACCCGTCACTGCCATCCCCGTGCTGCTCTTCTCGGGCTTCTTCGTCAGCTTCAAGACCATCCCCACCTACCTGCAGTGGAGCTCCTACGTCTCCTACGTAAGGTGGGACCCCAGCTCTGGCCAGAGCTCCCTGTCCTGGGCTCCCCTGTGGCCCTGGTGACCCTCAGGTGTGCTCTGCCCTAGGTATGGCTTCGAGGGGGTCATCCTCACCATCTACGCCATGGAGCGCGAGGACCTGGAGTGCCTCGAGGACTTCTGCCCTTTCCAAAAGCCCATCAAGATCCTGCAGGAGCTGGACGTGGAGGAGGCCAAGCTCTACCTGGACTTCCTCATCCTGGGCATCTTCTTTGTCATCCTGCGGCTCCTGGCTTACCTGGTGCTCAGGTACAAGGTCAAATCTGAGAGATAAGGGGGCCGTGGGGCCCCAGTGCCGTTCCCGGGCCTGGCCTGCTGTGAGAGATGTTCTGCAGATGGACACGGTGCTCCTGCAGGTCCCAGACCATGGTGGAGGCACTGGGAGGTGCCAGCCAGGCCTGGCTCAGTCGAGAAGGGTTTTGAGACATCTCGGAACTGTTTTAACCTTTCCACACACACTCTTCATTGCAAAACGTTTTGTACAGCCCTGGCATGTGCCACTCTCCCCCCCAGGACTGACAGAGCTTGGGTCCCCTCTTGTTGTCCTTGCCTGGCTCTGCCCTGGGGACAGCAGGGACAGCCCAGCCCCGGTGTTTGTGCCCAGCACGGCTGGGAGGAGCCTGCCCTGTGCAGGGGGAGCGGCACTGGGGCTGGGCTGGGCTGGGAGGAGGGAGCTGCAGAGCTGGAAGTGCAGCCATGGCCCCGTTCCTTGTCCTGACCAGCAGCGTGGGAGTCGGCGCTGAGAGGAGCCCAAAGATGCCATAGGTGGAGTTGCACAAGGCTTTAGAGTTTCCTGTCGCTGTAGCCACAGAGATTGCTGCATCCCCCTTTTCTTTCTGTCCAAACCCTCCTTCTTTTTTTTTTCCTTTTTCTTTATTTTTTTTCCCAAAAGCCCCACTGCATCCCAGTCTTCAGCAAAGGGAGCAAACAGGCAGAGAAGGACTTGGGGCTCTGTCTCAGACACCTGCTGGGACATCATCCTCAGAGATGGGATCTTCAAGCCAGGGTCTGTGGGAGCAGGACAGTGTTCTCAGACCTTAGGGAGTCTCACATTCAGTCCCTGTTGTCTCTGGGATCTGAGACAGGAGGATCTGAACCAATTTAACCAACATGGAGAGAAGTGACTGGTCCCTTGCATGGAGCAAGGAGGATTTGGGTTCCCACACCCTGCCCATGCCAGGAGGATGGAAAACAGGGCTGGGCTCAGCTGTGTCACCACTGGAGGCTCTGCTGCAGGAGGAGAGCTGGCCCTGAGCCTCTGTCCCCCAGCTCCACCAGGGCTGTCTCAGCAGGACGGGGCGGACGAGCCTTGCTCAGCACCGACTGTGCAGGGAGGGGACACCAAGGACACCCAGCCTGTCACAGTGCCAACCCCCCAGGGGGACACTGTGCATGAGGGGGTCCCAGCAGTGCCTGAACTGGAAACCAGGTGAGATCCCAGACTGGTTTGTTTGCAGCAGGTGACCCAGACACTGGGAAGGCCTTTGCACTTAGCGATGGTACCAGAAGGTCCCTTTTGGTGTCTCTGGTGGCTGCTCCAAACTCGCACACCTTGCAGAGGGAAGGCAATTCAGCACCTTGCTGGCTCTCCAGAGGAACTGAGCTGAGCCCAGAGCTGCTGGGGCATGTGCAGCTGCTGCTGTGCTGGGAACACAGCACCCTGCTCACCTGCCCAGCACAGCTCCGTGGGTGTGCTGGCACTGCTGGCACCGGGCTGCACGTGGCACCCACAGACGTGGGAACCTGCGGGATTTTGGCAAGCACGGACGTGGGGGAGGCAGCCCTGCCCCACCCTGGCAGGCTGGCCCTGGCTCAGGTCAGCCTGGGGATCCTGCTCCTGGCCCTCTGAGCAGCCAGGGATTGCAGGGCAAACGCCAGATTCCAGCAGAATCCTGGAGACTGATCTTTGGTCTTGCTGGCTTGGGCTGGGGCTGCACAGCAGAGTCTGGCTGGCCTGACACTGATGCTGGCACTCAGCAAAGCTGAGCTTCCCCTGCCTGGAGGGCATCGAGGAATGTTTGGCCATAGGGCTCTCTTGCACTGAGGGTGTGCAAGCAGGACCCACCCTGCTGCCCTTTCCACGCTGAGCTTGGGGTTTTCCCCAGGGGCTGCTGTCTGACTTTTCACCGTCCCTCACAAAATTCCCCTCTGCTCCTGGCTCTTCCTGCAGTGCAGTGGAGCTGTGCCAGCTGCAGGGCTGCCAGCCACAGCCACAGGGGCACGGAGGAGTGGGGGGCAGCCCCTGTGCCTGCTCTGTCATGAGGTGCAGGGGTGGGCAGGGAGCTGGGGGATGTGGGGCTGTCACCCTTGTCCATCTCCTTGTCCCTGGAGCTGGTGGGATGATGCTCTGCTTCTGTCCTGCTCTTGGGCTGGGACTAGTCCCTGCTCTGCTGGGCTGAGGCTTTTCCCTGGATGGATCCTGAGATGCAGGAGGTGTCAGTGGGGCAGCTCTGCACAGCTCCTGCTTCCCCCCTGGCATTTGGGGCTCTCATGGTGGGTCCTGTCTTCTGCACCCTGGGGGTGCTGCTGTCCCCAGTGCTGTCCCCAGCACCCAGCACACCTGGACAGCCCTGTGCCATCACAGCCAGGGCCACCACCGCTCCCAGGCGGGCCAGGACAAGATGGAGTAGCTTGTGGAGCAAAGGGGCCACCAGCAGGCACCAGTGACTGCCACTGGCCGTGTCCCCCAAAGCCCAGGGAAGGCTTTGCTGAGCAGGCTCTGCTGCTTGCAGAGAAACTCCATGGCACAGGCTTCTCCAGATCAGAGCAGCACTACCAGGGCAGGTGGCTCCCACTGCTGGGCCCAGCCTGCCTGGGATGGTGCAGCACCCTGGGACACCCAGGAGGGCTCAGCACAGCCTGTGCCTCCTGTGCCCATCAGCTGCAGTGTCCCAGCCCACCAGGTATGGACACTGCGGGGCAAAGGGCCAGGACAAAGCCTGGAGCTGCAGGATGGCTGTCCCCGAGCTGGGCAAAGGCTCTGGGGAGTGGGGGTGATGGGGCAGGCCCTGGGGCAGCAGGACACGAGTGAATGTGTGGGGATGAAGGGGCTGATGAGTGAGGGAAGTGGCACAGGGCAAAGGCACCCTCAGTGCTGCCTGAGGAGCTGAGCCAAGGTGCCACTGTCCTTTCCCTGTCTTCAAGGACAGCCCCAGGGGTGGTGGAAGGTGCAGGGAAAGGTGAGGAGGTGAATCACATTTGCACTGAGCCCCCAGGCTGACGGGGCTGGGCTGAGCACCCCGGGCTTTATTGCCTGGCTGGTCCCTGCCCTGCCCCTGGGGTTTTCTCTGCCCTGGCATGGCAGAGGGATGGGGTGCAGCCATCCTGCTCCAGGGGGCCCCGAGGGAAGCAGCAAGGATGCACTTTATCAGAGCAGGGGAGCAGAGCCGTGGGTGCTCCTGGCTGCAGGAACGCCACGAGAGAACGCGTCCGGATAATCCCGAGGAGTGTGATGGAGGAGAGCAGGCTTCTTACCCCACACCTCCTCTCCTGCCCCTGCCCTCCCTTGTGATGCACTTTGAGTGGATGAGGGTGGCGTTCAAGCTGTGGCTCTGGCTCCCTGGGAACACCAGCTGAGCCTCAACACACCAAAAACTGCTTCAGCCCCTTTGGCCCATGGCTGTGTCAGGCTCTGCCTCTCACGGGTGCTCTGATGGCAGGCAGGCAGGCAGGGGCATGGCCACTCACCTCCATGCATGTCCAGGCCACCTTTGTCACACGCACAAGAAGAGCAAATGCTTCATCACCTGGCTGGGGTTTGCTGGAGGGGAGACTGGGCTAGAACAGGGAGGGGATGGGGCTTCTCCCAGGGTTTCATCCCTCTCCCAAATCAGGCAATAAAACAGTGTTTCCTTCTCACTGTGTGTGTGTGGACACCATTTGTCCTGTCCCCCTGCCGTGGGCTCTCTGTGTGTGTCCCTGCCATGCTGGACCCTGTGGTTTTCCAGCCTTTGCTGTGTCAGGACACCAGGCTGGACACTGTGGGCATGTGTGATCCAGGGGGGCACCACACAGAGAAGTGCAGGCGTTGAAACTCACACTTCCACACGGCCACAGGTGTGAGCTGCTCCCTCCCTGGGACAGCTTGCCAAAATAAGGTGCAGGTAGCAGCTCAAAGGCCAAGGGAGTCTGCTGGCACAGCTCTGTTGTGCCAGCTGCTCCGGGGGGATTTGCCCAGGTCTCTCTGCCTTGCTGGGAGGAGGCTGTGAAGCAGGAGCAGGGCACTGCTGCCCACAGCTGCAGCCTGGCAGGAACCAGGCAGGGTGGAGGTGAGGCCCTGGGCGCTCCAGGCTGGGCTGCACAAGCAGGTAAGTGCCCCGCAGGGCCGGGGTGCCAGGTGCCAGCTTGCTACCCACCAGTGCCCAGAGGGTGCCGGGAGCTGCTGGGCAGGAGGAGATGTCCTGGTTTGTGTCGGTGTTTCTGAGATGCCAGCTGTACTTGTTGGACTTCACACATCAATAAAACTTATATTTATAGTGTACTGCCTGGGTGTCTCCTTTCCTGAGAGCCTTGAGGGCACAGCTGGGATGTTGAATTTGGGGTGAAGATACACAGGTGTGACCCCCTCAGTCCCAGCCACCCCTGAGTGAGCTGGCATTTCCTGGGACAGCACCCAGGCACTGAGAAGAGTGCGTGTGGCCCCAGTGACACAGCTGCCACTTGCTGGGTGGCCAGAGCGGCTCTGCCGGCAGCGAGAGGGCAGGTACAGGTGTGCGTGTTTGTGTGCGTTCAACAGGCACAGCCTCCCCCAGCTCCTTCCCCCGCTCGGGAGGATCCTCTCGGCAGCAGAACGCGTCCTGCAGGCTCTCGTTGCACGGCCGGGCAGCAGCTGGGGACGCAGAGCCGCCAGATGTGTCCGGAGGCAGCACATCTGGTAAGAGCGCGGCTCCCGCAGTCCTGCCCGTGTTTGGGAAGCTGTGGGGGTGAGGGTGATCCTGCAGCCTCCGGCCGCTCTCCGATCGCGCTCGGGGAGCTGGCAGAGCCCGGTGCGGGTGCTCCTGGCAGAGCCCGGTGCGGGTGCTCCTGGCAGAGCCCGGTGCGGGTGCTCCTGGCAGAGCCCGGTGCGGGTGCTCCTGCCAGGCTTCAGCCGCTCTCCAATCCTGTTCGGGGAGCTGGCAGCGCTGGGTACGGGTTCCTCCAAGCCTCCAGCCGCTCTCCAATCCTGTTCGGGGAGCTGGCAGCGCTGGGTGCGGGTTCCTCCAAGCCTCCAGCCGCTCTCCCGTCGTGCTCGGGGAGCTGGCAGCGCTGGGTGCGGGCTCCTGCCAGGCTCCAGCCGCTCTCCCGTCGTGCTCGGGGAGCTGGCAGCGCCGGAGCGGGGCGGGACGGGGCAGGATGGCGTTGCAGGAAGTTCTGCCTGCGGAGCAGCCGCCTCCGCAGCGGAGCCGTGCCCGGGACAGGCACGGCGAGAGGCGGATGGGCAGCTCGGGGCTGCGCTCCGTGAGCCCGGCAGGCCGAGCACGGGCAGTTCCCGGCTGGAATCCTGCAGGACGAGGTAACCCCAGCCCCGGGCTCCGGCCCCTGCACCGCCACGGCCTCGCCATGAGCGGGGAGCCGGGAGGGCACAGGGGCCACCAGGACACGGGGGTCCCCAGGGGGGTCCCTGGAAGGGCTCAGCAGCGGAATGGCAGCTCGGGGCCCTCGGCTCGGCAGAGGGGCTGGGAAGGGGCTGGGAACCGGGCATGGGACAGCGTGGGGTTGTTTCCTGCGGGGCCACCGAGGTCGGGACACCTGTGCTCAAGGTCAGCCCCTCTGCCCCCGCCCCTGTGCCTCAGTTTCTCCACCTGGATTACATAAAAAGGGGCTGTAAACAGCGTGGCTTGTGGGACGTGAGAGTGAGTGAGTGAGTTGTCATCCCGCTCATCCCTTCCTCTCGGCTGGGGTTCGCTTATATCTTTCTCCCCCGTGCCTCAGTTTCCCGGGATGCTGGGGGCTGTGAGCACCGCCCGGGCTCCTGAAGGATCTCCCTGCTGAGCCCTGCTGGGGCGGGAGCCTGAGTCAGCGCCAGCACAGCCGGTTCTGCCGGGCTGGACCACGCTGGGGGAGGTAAGGCTGGGCAGGGCTCTGCTGCACCACATCCCACAGCTCCCGTGCTCTGCTGAGCCCCCGGAGCCCCTCACCCGCCTGCCACACGCCTGTGTTTCAGGTGGAGGATGTCCCGGGCCATGCAGTGCCAGGGCTGCCTGCCCTGGGGCAGCTGGGCGCGGCTGCCGCGGTCCCTGGCAGGGACAAGGGGGACCCGCAGCGTGTCCGTGTGTGCTGCTGCCGTGCCAGGTGAGCCGGGCTCCGTGCCTCTGCGCTCAGCCCTGTCCCCCTTGAACATCCCTCCCCAGCTGGGCAGGGGTGGGGGGCACCCTAGCGAGGTGTGGGGTTACCCTGCTGGGCTGGAGAAAGCCATCCCTGACCATGAGCATTCCTCCTCCCCACCAGGTGGTGCAGGCAGGAATTTCCTCAGGAGGATCCTTGGCACAAGCAGCATCTCCCTCCCCAGGTACAGTCAGTGTCACACGGCTGGGGCTCTTTGTCACAGCACCCGGGTGGACCAGGGACACTGCTTTGCTTCCAAACAAGCACCCAGACCCACCTCCCTGCCTGCTCTGACTCCAGCCCACCTGCCCTGCCTCTCCACGGGTTTTCTGGGAATGCACAGCCTGTGGCTTGCTGACCTGCCTTCCCCTCCCAGCCGTGCCCCTGCCCTGGCCCTGTGCTCTGCCCTGGTGTGGGGGGAGGAAGGGCTGAGCTGGTTCCTCTCAGCACTTCCCACAGCCTGGCTGGGGATCTGCCCACCCTGACCCAGGTGGGGTTTGGGGCTGCTCCCTGTGGCACTCTCCCTCCTCCTGCAGGGGCTGTGTTCACTACCAGGGAGACTCCCAGGAGAAACCTGCCCAGCCCAGCTCCTCTCACCATGGTCAGTCCCAGCTGAGGAAAGTGGCCTTTTCTGGTGAGTTTGCAGCTCTGGTTTGGAGGGAGGGTCCTACACAGTGGGGTGGGGGCAGCTGCTGTCCCGGGCAGTGTGAGGGTTCCCCATAACTGGTGCTGTCCCCTCTCTGCAGTGGCTTGGGGCAGGCAACATCCTCAGTGCCCTGCCATTGCATAACCCTTGTCATATCCAGCACCTTCCTCCTTGCAGGTGCCATCAAGAAGCACCAGAAGAGCCTGTCTGCGTGGTTCAGCCACCAGCCCAATGAGGAGAGGCAGTTCGGCCCTTCCTTCTCTCTGGATGCCGTCCATGTGGACCCAGTGATCCGGGAGAGCTCCCTGGAGGAGATCCTGAAGCCCTCCCCTGATTTAACCATCCAGAACCAGCTCCAGCAGCCCTCCAGGAAGGTTATCAGCCTCCACAACCTGTTCGACGTGGACGCCTGCGGGCGGCAGGTGAAGAACGTGGTGCTCTACGGCACCGTGGGCACGGGCAAGAGCACCCTCATCAAGAAGATGGTGGTGGACTGGTGCCATGGCCGCCTGCCCCGCTTCCAGCTGGTCATCCCCTTCTCCTGCGAGGACCTGTCCCACAGCCATGCCCACGTGTCCCTGCGGCGCCTCGTCACCAAGAAGTACCAGCACCTCCGGGACGTGGTGCCGGTGCTGGAGGCTTCCAACCTCAGCGTGCTCTTCATCCTCAACGGCCTGGAGCGCCTCAACCTGGACTTCAGCCTGGCTGGCACGGAGCTGTGCTGTGACCCCAACGAGCCCGTGCCTCCCTCTGCCATCGTGGTCAACCTGCTGCGGAAATACCTCCTGCCCGAGGTCGGTGTTGCCCTGCTTTGTGCTGGGAGGAGGTTGGGGGTGAGCCCTGAGGCATCACAGGGCTCTTGGGATCATTATTTGCAGTCCAGCTTGGCTGGGAGAGCAAGCAGGCAGCCTCTGTTCCTGGAGGAACTTGCTAAGGTGGACTCATGTCACTGGTGGGATCTTTGGGGGGGTCTGGTAAGTAATGAAGGCTGTGATCTTCCAGATTTTATTTATGTCTAGGAGGTCTGGTAAGGTAAGGAAGGCTGTGATTTTCCAGATTTTATTTATGTCTTGGAGGCCTGGTGTGACCGTGTTCACAGGGGTCTGAGGATGAGGGAAGAGACGAGGATCTGACTCCATGTTTCAGAAGGCTTGATTTATTATTTTATGATATATATTATATTAAAACTATACTAAAAGAATAGAAGAAAGGATTTCATCAGAAGGCTAGCTAAGAATAGAAAAAAAAAAAAAGAATGATAACAAAGGCTTGTGTCTCTGCTAGAGAGTCTGAGCCAGCTGGACTGTGATTGGCCATTAATTAGAAACAACCACATGAGACCAACCACAGATGCACCTGTTGCATTCCACAGCAGCAGATAACCATTGTTTGCATTTTGTTCCTGAGGCCTCTCAGCTTCTCAGGAGAAAAAATCCTAAGGAAAGAATGTTTCATAAAATGTGTCTGTGACAGCCTGCTAAGGTAATAAAGGCTGTGATCTTCCAGACTTTATGTCTAGGAGGGAATGGGGAAAGTTCTTCTGTCCCCTCTGCCTGGGCCAGGTTTGATCCAGCACCTTTGTGAACCCCACCCTGTGCATGAGGTTATCCTGGTGCCCCCCTCAGTGGGTTACACCCTGCTGGGCACCCCAGACTCACCCAGCCCTGTGTCCCCAGGCCAGCATCATCGTCACCACGCGCCCGTCTGCCGTGCGCCGCATCCCCGGCAAGTACGTGGGGCGCTACGCCGAGATCTGCGGCTTCTCCGACACCAACCTGCAGAAGCTCTACTTCCAGATGCGCCTCAGCCAGCCCGGCTGCTCCGGGGAGGAAAGCCAGCAGCGCCACTCGGCAGAGCAGGAGAACCTGGTGGAGATGCTGTCGAGGAACTTGGAGCGCCACAACCAAATAACGGCCGCCTGCTTCTTGCCGTCCTACTGCTGGCTGGTGTGCACCACCCTGCACTTCCTCTACTTCACCAGGGCGGTTCCTCCCAGCCAGACCCTCACTGGTATCTACACCAGCTTCCTGAGGCTCAACTTCAGCGGGGAGGTGCTGGACAGCACCGACCCCACCCACATCTCCATGATGAAGTATGTGGCCAAGACAGTGGGCAAGCTGGCCTACGAGGGGGTGATGTCCCGCAAGACCTGCTTCTCAGAGGAGGACCTGCGGCACTGCTTCGAGGTGGAGATGAAGACTGAAAGCGAGCTCAACCTCCTGGAGGTTTTCCGCAGCGATGTGTTCCGCTTCTTCCTGAGCCCGTGCGTGCAGCCAGGCAAGGAGCACACTTTTGTCTTCACCATCCCCGCCATGCAGGAGTACCTGGCAGCCCTGTACGTGGTGCTGGGTGAGAAGAAGACCCTGGTGCAGAGAGTGGGGAAGGAGCTGTCAGAGGTCCTCGGGAAGGTCAGCGAAGACGTGGCTGTGGTAGTGAACATCATCTCCAAGGTGCTGCCTCTGCGCTTCCTCCCCGTGCTCTTCAACCTCCTCAAGATCTTCCCTCGCTACTTCTCCCGGGTGGGCGGCAAGGACAGGGATACCATTGCCCACACCATGGCAGAGGAGCTGTTCAAGGAGGAGGATTACTACAATGATGATGTCTTGGACCAGATCAACTCCAGCATCCTGGGCGTGGAGGGCCCCATGCGCCACCCCGATGAGGCCCCGGATGATGAGGTCTTCGAGCTCTTCCCCATTTTCATGGGTGGGATCCTGTCCCGCCGCAACCGCGCCATCCTGGAGCAGCTGGGCTGCTCCATCAAGAACCTGGCAGCCTTCGAGATCGCCAAGGCCATGAAGAAGACGGTGATCAGGAAGGGCCGCAGGGGCCTGCCCCCCTCGGAGCTCATGGACTACCTGTTCTTCCTGCACGAGTTCCAGAACGAGCGCTTCACGGCCGAGGCCATCCTCTCCCTCCGTGCCGTCAACCTCTCCTCCGTCAAGATGACCCCTCTCAAGTGCTCTGTGCTGGCATCTGTCATGAGCACCACGTGTCACGAGGTGGAGGAGCTGAACCTGACCTCCTGCAACCTGGACAGCGGCAGCTTGAGGACCCTCTTCCCTGTCCTGCTGCGATGCAAAGCTCTCCAGTGAGTACCACCTCCTCCTGCCTTTGGGCACTGCTCAAAAATCGGGTTTTTTCTCACCTCTGCCCATCACAGGGACGCTTTAGGAGCCCAGGTATGGAAAACTTAGGAAAGGGCATGTTTATTCCCAGTGCAGACGTAGGGAACTACAGCTTCCAACATGCAACACTCCTTGAGCAGCCTTTCTAGGGCACTGCATGCTGGGATTTGCAGTCCCAGCTCACCCTCCCGCAGGAATTTTTGGGGAGTTCCCTGCAGCTGGTACAGGCTGGGCAGGCTGCCAGCTGTCCTGACAGACCCGAGTCCCTACGGGAAGTTACCCGGCATCCCCGTGTCGTTAGCTCTGTGAGGAGTTTGCAGTCCCAGAGGTGGGAGTCTGGGCTGTGCAGATGTTCCCACAGACGTTCCAGAACGTTTGTGGAGCTGCAGGTCTTCCTGCCGCCCAGGTGGTGGCGAGACGTGCTCAGCACAGATGGATCGGGCTGTGCAGCTGGGCTGTGCCGCACTTCCTTCCTCCAGATGCTCAGGAGGGCTTGATGGAGCCCTGATCCCTCCTCTGACCTTCGCCCACCTCCTGAAGACTCCGCCATCCCCTTCCCCTTGCCCCACTCCTGCTGGCACCGGCTCTGCTGGCTCATGCTGGGGTGCGGTGTCACTGTGCTCCCTTTGGGAGAGGAAACCTGGAGTGGCCTAGTTTGGGGAGCCCAGGGAGGATGGTGATGGGCAAAATGGAGCGGGCAGGGCTGCCAGGCTCCCAGGTAACAGCCATTTTGTTCCTGTCACACCCGTGTCTTGCTCTGCACCAGTCTGCAGCTCAACAGCCTGGGCTCCGAAGCCTGCAAGGAAATCCGTGACCTGCTCCTGCATGACAAGTGTGTGGTGAGCAGCCTGCGGTGAGTACGGCCCCCGCCCTGCATGACACTGCCACTGCTGTCCCCCACGTGCCTGGGCACTCCCTGAGCTCCGTGTCCCACAGGCTGGCCAACAACCCCGTGGGGGAGCAGGGCGCTCGCTACCTGGCCGAGGCGCTGGCCGGCAACCGCTCCCTGACACAGCTGTCCCTGCTGCACACCTCGCTGGGGGACCCTGGCGCTGAGGCCATCGCCCAGCACCTGGCCCAGAACCAGCACCTGCAGGAGCTCAACCTGGGCTACAACTCCCTGACGGACACGGCGGCCCTGCGAGTGGTGGAGGTGGCCAAGAGGCACGAGACGCTGGACAAAGTGCAGTGAGTCCACTCTGCTGCGCCCCTGCCCTTTTACCCACACAGCATCCCTGCCCTGCGTGCCTCTGTCCTTCCCCTCAGCCCTCACCAGCATCTCCTGCTGCTTTCCCAGTCTCTACTTCAACGACATCAGCGAGGATGGCAAGAGGGCTCTTGACTCCCTGCGCATGGACCGCGACGGCGTCAGGGCTCTGGTTTTCCTCACGGCGGGCACCGACGTCTCCGATTACTGGTCCCACATCCTGAACGTGGTGCAGAGGAACCTGCCCTTCTGGGACCGCGAGCGGGTCCGGCAGCACCTCACCCTCCTCCTGCAGGACCTGGAGAGCAGCCGCAGCCAGACTGCCAATCCCTGGAGGAAAGCCAAATTCCTGCGAGTCGAGAGCGAGGTCAAGAAAATGCTGGGGAAACTGCAGGATGGGAGCCTCTAACCTGCTGCCCATCCACCAGCCAGGGGTGGGGCAGTGGAGTGTGCCCAGCAGCACGTTCCCTGCGCCCTCACCCACCTGGAGATGCTGGCTGGATGGTGCTGTCAAAGGTGCTGGGTGTGTGGGGCTCAGCCTTATCTGCAGTGTGGGAATGGGACAGAAACCAGGCCAGGAGCAAATGGGACTTGTTCTTCTGGGCTTGTGGAAAGCCAGCCCCTGCACCCCAGCCAGAGTGCTGGCAGGGAGCAGGATTGGGGCTTGTCTGTGAATCTTTTGGGAGCATTAAAGTGCACCTCTTTATTTCCACTGAAGCACACTAGTACCAAGACTTGATCTCCTCTTCGGGCCCTTCCTGGGGAGGAATGTGGAGCAGCTGGAGTGGAGGGTTCTGCCTTTCCCCATCTCCCAGCACTGGCATGGAGCAGCCCACCTCTGCTCCAGTGCTGAACCAGTCATTCTCCCCTCACTGTGTGTCCCCCTGGAAGCCACCAGGAGCTGTCTCCAAGCTGGGTGTCCCGGGGTGCTGGTCCCTGCTCCCAGCTCTGGCTGGCAGTGCCAGGGGCTGGGAGGGCAGGGGAAACTCGAGGCTGTTTAACCATTAAACCTGGGGCGTCTTGGGAGAGGCGGGGACACTTCCCTGCCACTTCACCCTGTACCTTGCTCCCTCTGGCAATCCCTGCAGCCATGAAGCAAACAAAAGGTATGTGCCTGCTGGGGAATCCTCTGCAGACCCTTCCCCACACACACAGGCCCTGCTGCCAGGTGGAGCAAGGCAATGTCAGAGCCAGGCAGCCCATGGAAGGAGCCAGAGGCATGCAGGAAAATGTCTCCTTGTGGGGATGCTGGGGAGGCATCCCCTCTCCCTGGGTTTGGGGTTCCTTGTGCCCAAAGAGGAGTGGAGGGGTTTGATGGGGGGGGTGTGTGACAGGGAAGGTCTCTGTTTCATTCTCCTGGCTCCAGCAGCTCTCTGGGGTCCTGGTGAACCTTCTCAGCCCTCACTGAAGAGCCCTGTAGACCCCCAGGAGTGAGCCCATCTGCTTGGCCCCTCTTTGCCCCCGCAGTGAGTGCCCATGGGACCTGAGCAGGTCCTGCTGTTGGGAAGGCAGGAGGACAGTGGTGCCAGGGCCAAGGGACAACCTGTGCTGAGAGACAGAGGGGCTTGGGAGCTGTGTGGGCTTGGCAAACCCCCTCACCTGCATGGCAGGCTCAGCCTGTGAGTGCTCCAGAGTATGGGGTCTGCTCCCAGCCCACCACCTCCCGTGCTGACCTCTCCTCTCCCTCTGCAGGACTCGAGGGAGACAAGATGTCCATCATGTAAGTGCTGATCTCCTCTTGACCAGGGGCTTTCTGGGGCCCAGGAGAGACTTGGGGAATGGTCCAAGAGGGAAATCTTGTCTGTCTTTCCCCAAGGAAAAAGGAGGCACAGGCCCCAGTTGGCCCTTTCTGGGAGGAACAAGCTCCCCAAAGCAGGGGGAGGCAGGGACAAGGCCACCCTGCACTAACGTGGCCTCTCCTGCCCTTTATCATTTCAGAAAATTTGAATTTAACCCCAAAGTTGGGATCGACAACCCAGCCTTGACCCTGACTGAGGACACGGGTAAATACACGCCCTCATCTCCCAGGGTGTCCCTGTGTCTGCAGGGGGCTGTGACACCTGGATGACCCTGTCTGTGCACAGGGATGTGGCACTTGGGTGTCCCTGTCTGTGCATGGAGCTGTGGCACCAGGGTGTCCTTGTGTCTGCAGGGGGCTGTGGCACCTGGGTGTCCCTGTCTCTACAGGGGGCTGTGACACCTGGGCACTGCTGGGGTCCTGAGCTCTCTGCCACACTGGGGACCTGTGGGAGGTGAACACAGGAGGGATGAGCAGACCCCCAGCCCAGGATGGGGTACAGAACTTGTGTGAAGATCCCTGCAGGGCTCTGCTCACGGGCTGTGCCCCCACACAGATGGTGAGGGCATGGGGGAGCCCCGCTTCTACCTGCTGACCAAGGAGAGCACAGAGACCTTCGGCTTCTGCCTGCACGAGGAGCTGGGCTGCCAGGGCCACATCATCCGGCAGATTGAGCTGGGGGGGGTGGCCCAGCGCAGGGGGCTGCAGGACGGGGACCGCCTGCTCCAGGTCAATGGCCACTTCGTGGACCACATGGACCACCTCAGGGTAAGCTGGGAGCAGCCCATGGGAACGCCTGGGTCCCTGGGATCCCAAATTCCTGATCCCTGATTCCCATGGGAACGCCTGGGTCCCTGGGATTCCTGATTCCCATGGAACGCCTGGGTCCCTGGGATCCCTGATTCCTGATCCCTGATTCCCATGGGAACGCCTGGGTCCCTGGGATCCCTGATTCCCATGGGAACGCCTGAGTCCCTGGGATCCCAAATTCCTGATCCCTGATTCCCATGGGAATGCCTGGGTCCTGCCCAGCCAGGGGCGCAGAGGATGCATGATTCAGCTTGGACTTGAAGCAATGAACTTTTTTTAGCATTGTTTTTGCGTTTTCTTATATTGTAAGATTGTTTTAGTGATATGATAGAATTTGATGTTCTACAGGCGAAGAATTTCCCTGATCATTCCACATCAGCACTTGATTGAGGTTTTGATTGGCAACAGATAACCTCTCAAGTGTTTGTTCTTTCCTCTGCATGGGCCCAGCAGACAAAATTACAAACACTTTTCTTTTTAATTTTATTAAAATAAAAAGGGTGATATTTCACAGACATGTTTTTAAAAAATCCTTTCCTTAGGATTTTTTTCTCCTGAGAAGCTGAGAGGCCTCAGGAACAAAATGCAAACAATGGTTATCTGCTGCTGTGGAATGCAACAGGTGGATCTGGGATTGGGCTCATGTGGTTGTTTCTAATTAATGGCCAATCACAGTCCAGCTGGCTTGGACTGTCTCGGTCAGTCACAAACCTTTGTTATCATTCCTTTTCTATTCTTAGCCAGCCTTCTGAGGAAATCCTTTCTTCTATTCTTTTAGCATAGTTTTAATATAATAAATATCATAAAATAATAAATCAAGCCTTCTGAAACATGGAGTCAACATTCTCATCTCTTCCCTCATCCCGGGACCCCCGCAAACACCACCAAATGCATGAGCCCTGCTGACCCCAGGGACCCCAGCCCATCAGAGGGTGCCTGCTGAGGGCTCCTGGGTCCTTCCAGGTGGTGCAGAAGATCAAGGCCAGTGGGAACCAGGTCCTGCTGGCAGTGCTGGATGGTGACTCCTACGAAGCAGCCAAAGCCCTGGGCAGGGACCTGTCCCAGATGCTGCCCGAGGACATCCGCCCGCGCCTCTGCCACGTCACCAGGGACAAAAGCGGCTTTGGCTTCAGCGTGTCGTGTCCAGAAGGTAAAGCAGGATGCTGCCACCATGAGCCCCCCTATTGTAGCGCCTCACTCACCCCAAAATGCCCCTTCTGCTCCTCCTGCAGGCACCAAGGGCACCTTCCAGCTGTCGGTGCTGCAGGATGGGCCAGCGGACAGAGCGGGGGTGCCACCGGGCTGCTGGCTGCTGGAGCTCAACGGGGACAGCGTCAAGAGCTACTCCCACACCCAGCTCACCAGAAAGGTGCCTGCTCCTGGCATGGGGGGTGAGGGATGGGGCTGAGAATGTCACTGAGCACCTGTGCTTCCCATCCAGCTCAAGCAGAGCGGCAACAAGGTGACACTGCTGGTGGCCTCCAGCGCCGTGGAGGAGTTCTACCGCCTGAGGGGCCTGCGGGTCACGGCTGCCTTGGCTGACACCTCCAGGCTCCCCTTCAAGGTCCGGGAGCTGCACCTGGTGAAGGGTCCTGCTGGCTACGGGTTCCTGCTCAAGGAGGATGACTGCAGCTCGGGAGGAGTAGGTGAGAGGGCTGAGAGGGGCAGTTTGTACCTGAGCAAGGCATTTCTGAGGGTTGGAAAGAGCTGACAGCTCTGTGCCTGCAATAGGACCCTGTCCCCACCTGCACAGAGGGGTCAGCAGAGCCAGTTCCCCTCTGTGAGCCTCTGCCCCCTCCCTGTGCTGTGGCAGGCCAGTTCCTGTGGGACGTGGATGCGGGGCTGCCAGCAGAGCAGGCAGGGATGAGGGAAGGGGACCGTGTGCTGGCCGTGAACGGGGAGAGCATCGAGGGGCTGGACCACGAGCAGACCGTGCACAGGATCCGCGCCCGGGAGGATCAGGTGACGCTGCTGGTCATCGACCCCGCTGGGGACGAGTTCTACCACTCGGTAGGTCCTGGGGGCACGCCCCTGCTCTGGCTGGGGAGCCCTGGGGTGCTGTGAGGCTGCACAATGGGATGGGTGTCCCCCACAGGGGCTGTGTGTCTACCCCTCTTCTGCTCTTCCAGATCGGGCTGTCCCCCCTGCAGTTCTTTGGGGACGGTGACCCCGCCTCAGGCTCCTGCACGCCCTCCCTGCCCTCTCGCAGTGGCTCCCCTGCACTCTGTGACGTTGAGGTGGCACCCAAGGGACCTGTGTCCTGGCTGATGGCTGCTGCCAACAGCATAGAGATCATACAGGTAACTCCTCAGGGCAGTGCTCACAGCCCGGCAGGGCTCTGAGTGCTACCACCCTCCTATTCCGCCCATCCTAACGTTTTCTGGCATCTGTGGTGCTGCCAGGAGGAGGCTGTGTGGTCCCCTGGCCACAGGGGCAGGCACAAAGACCCCTCCAACCTGTGTCCCCGCAGAGCCAGCGCCAGGAGGAGCACACAAAGCTGTGCCAGGCATTCTAACAGCCCAGGAGCCTCTGGACAGGCTCTCCCACACAGCACCTGCACCCAGGCCACGTGCAGCCCCTCGGGGCTCAGCACTGCTCAGCATGGACCCTGCACACGCAGCTCCTGTGTCTCCATGCCTGGCTCACAGCACGGCACTCCCAGGGACTCGTCTCTGCTCACCCAGGCTGCCTCAGAGCTTTTATCAACCACAGTGGCAGCTGCTCCTAACCTGACCACAGAGCTGTGTCTTTGCCTGCCCAGCTACCTCCAGGGATTCCTCAGGACATTGCACTGAAGCCCTTGCCCAGCTCCAGGCTCTGGGAGTTCCCAGGAGAGCTGAGGCACTGCCCTCTGCACCATGACCCAGGGGACTCGAGGGTTGGCTCAGATCTGCACGTGCATGGACATCTCTCCTGTGCTGCTCCTCTCATCCCCTCTCTGAAGCCAGCACCACCTTGCTCCTGCACCACCTTTTTGGGGTGATTAAAGGACAAATCCACGCTGCTGTTTGTGTGGGTGATGTTATGGACAGCACTGTGACTGGGCAGCACATCCCAGGGCCAGACCCATCCTCTCTTCCCAAGCCTGGCGTTGGGCAGTGGATGTAGG